ATGTGCAGTAAAACCAGATGTTCATGTCATGGCTGCTTGATTGTGCAGCCAGGTTTATTCCCTGACATTTGGTCATTTTCTTGTGTTTCTCAGTGTTGAGCATCCCTCGAGGGGAGCTGTTTTTTATGTTTCTGCCCTCTGGCTGTCCGCACATCTTGTTTGATTGCAAGGTTTATATTTTCTCACAGTCATTTCTTACACCCCCACATCCAGCAGATGGTTTCCTTAGCATACAGACTACAAACAAGGGAAAACTAGCCGGGCTCTGTCTAAATTCGGGATGTTCCTAGCGGCTTATATCCTTGTCTATTAAACAGAAATTGAAAGTAGGACTAGCTGACAATCTAGCATTATATCTTGTGCAGCCGTTCTCTTGATGATCTGTGTTATCTCTTCAGACCGAGTTGGATCACAGCCTCAGCGGGTAAACAAGGTCAAATTGCTTTGCCGATTGTGGCTAACATTAGCAGTGTTAGCACAGCTAGCCTTTGGTCCTCCTTGCAGTTTCACGTCCAAATACCTGTGCTGAATGTTTTTACACATTGCTCGGAGTGGTTGAGTGATTATGTGCCGTTTTACCTGCCCTGCTCCTACGAGATGCCATCTGTCCACTGCGCTGGTTTACATCCAGGCAGGAGAGCCGGGAGAGCAGGCTCATTAACTAGAGCTACAGCCCCAGTTAGTGAGGCTGTACGACACATCATTTAACTGGTAATGTGGCCCTCATTGATTCATATTTATAGTTTAGTTTTTTAAGTTAAACTGACGACAACTGAGGGTGAGGAGGTTTAATCCTTTGGAGAGCTAATCACGCTATAGTCCAAACCAAAAACTGTCCTTACAGCTGAAGAAAGAGCTCGTACCTTGTTTGTTTTATCCATTAGATACCTGAATTGTAAAACCATCCAGGGCTATGTGAGACTTCATGCAAAACTATTTCCTCACTGGTTGTAATAACTTCCTCAAGTATTGTAACTTGATGTCCACTCTCTGACTTGAGGAAGTCACTGAGCCCCATAAAACAACAGCTTTGCATTTTATATTCTTCTGTTTTGTTCTTTTGCTTCCTGAAATATTCAAACTGTCTTTCATGAGGTCACAGTCAGGGTCCAAAAAAAAAATGGATGAAGCAACAGAGTCCTCTATAAGATGCTATGATGAGAATATTTTCCTTTATATCAATGCGATGTGTAGTTTGATGGATTTAAAATGTCAACAAAGGACGTGGAACAACATACTGACAAACAGAAAACATAATGCTGCTGTTTTATTTTGTGCACATAGAGGTAGCATGCACACAGTCTATACACAGACTCCAGTCACATGACAAAAACATCACCACCACCCTCTCCTACTGGCTCGAGGTGAATTCTTCGGATAATATCCTGCTGTGTTCTCACATCAGCTCACTCAGACTTGCTGCTAGGGGGCTGCAAGAGAAACTACGGGTGAAGTCAAAAGAGAGAGAAATCTGTTGTTTGCATTCACACATACGACTCCTCCTGGAAATATCAGGAGTTCTTGCGGAGTTTTCTGCATTCATCTGGTGAAATTCTATTGTCTAGATGACCAAGATCTAAATAAGGTTTTTAATATCCACAGTGTTTTAAAAATCTGCAGAAAAGACTGGTTGTTTTTGAACTGCTTTGAGATATTCTGTTAGATCTATTCATATTAAGATCAGAAATGCCCACAGTGTATCATCATTATTGGCTTTCATCACGGCTCTATCTGCTTGGATCTTTTTTTTGTTTTTTTTAACCACCGCCTCTGAAATTGGTTAGATGAATGTGCAATAATACCCGAGCCATCCCGAAGGACGCACCAGTGTCTCATCAATCCTCTTTTGCATCAGTCCTGTCAAACACCTGCGTCCCTGTATTGCTCTCCAAAGCATTTTCTTTGAATTTATTTGCCTCATTTGCTTCTTTGGATCACTTTGTTTGTGCAGCAGGCAGTAGATAAGGTTAGGCTGACTGAAAAGGGAACTGAAGGAGAGTGGTTTGTGTGTGTTTGTAAAACTAGATGTATGTATGTAAAAAGGATACTTCTGCAGCCAAGGACGTTCTTTGATGCCGACTGACAGCAGTCAAAGTCAAACAGAGACCAGCAGCTCATGCTGTGTGAGTGGTTATTGTTACTGTGAGTGTGGAGAAGAAAAGGTCACCAGGCCAACCAAGATAAACTATTTTAAAGGTCTGGTAGAAGTGGCAGAGGAAGTGTGTATCTCAGAAGTGTGTTTGTCCTTGTTTTAAACCCTTTAATTTAATGTTGACTGATCCGACCTGGTTCAGGATTTTGTGAGTAGAATTGGATTTAAATATTTAATATGAAGCTTTCACTATTCTTTCCTTTTATTGCAGTTGAGTGCCACACCAGACTCCTACATCTGCCTACTTTTCATTAAGCACTGTCTGAATGAGAGACTGTAAAACATTTCCAGCTGCTTATTTTCTTAGTGTTTAAAGTCACTCCTGTGTTGTTTTTTACTTAATGATTAAAGGATTTAATTTAGCTTGTGAGCTAAAGTATGTGGTAGCTCAGTTAGCAGCCCCTGACGCCCCACTGAAGAGTGCATTTTTATGTTGTTTTTTTTATACATTTCTCTCCTCGGCTTATTTTTATTAAGATGTATTTTTGGGCTTTTTATGCCTTTTATTGTAAAGATAGGACAATGGATAGAGTCAGAGAGAGAATGGGGAATGATACGGGATAGAGGAGGAACGGGTCGGATTCGAACCTGGGCCACCTGCACGGAGGACCACAGCCTCCGTACATGGGGCGCGTACTCCGTACAAGTTAAATGAGATCTGTGTTCATAAGAAGTTTGTCGTGTGGATTTCTTCACAGCTTACTTTTCATGAAGCAGGATGAAGATTTGTCAGGTTTTAAAATATCCTGTGAAAACTGCTTTTTGAAATAGATGAACATTTATTTTATGGTTGGAGAATAATGTTGTAAGTATGTTTACAGTAGTTTATTTTGATTGTTTTTGAAGTAGTTTATATTGATTGTTTACAAGGGTTTATATTGATTGTTTATAGTAGTTTATATTGATTGTTTACATTAGTTTATATTGAGTGTTTACAGTAGTTTATATTGATTGTTTACAGTAGTTTATATTGAGTGTTTACAGTAGTTTATATTGATTGTTTACAGTAGTTTATATTGATTGTTTACAGTTAGTTTATATTGAGTGTTTACAGTAGTTTATATTGAGTGTTTTTGAAGTAGTTTATATTGAGTGTTTGCAGTCTAACAACACGCTGCATATTGTTGTAAACATGTGTACTTGAGGTTTTGTGTTTCTGCAGGGTAAACTTCATGTTTCTATCTTTGTTGGACTCTATCTCCCTCTACAGGCTGATGTTAGAACACAGTAGAACCTGATGTTTCAGTCTCGTTTTACTTTTTTAACTAACACAGTTATTAACAGAAATATTTTTATTTAGGATTATAAAACCATGAACTGCCAAAAAACATCTTCTCTACCAGCATGCGGCCTGATTATTGCTAGTTGTTGTGTGAGAGATCTTAAGGAACTAAAGAGGTGATAGTGGTTATAATGAGCTCAACCTCACAGCAGGCACGCTGCTGTTGAGAATGCAGCTTCTTGTTTTAAAGCAGGGGTGTAGGAGCAAAGAGAGACGCTTACAGACTAGACAAAAGACTAAAACAGTGTACATATAAATAGCGTATCCAAAATGATGCAACACGTAAAACATTGCCTCTTGTGACGCTTGAGACAAACAGATCTACATTTATCATAACAAACCCTGAACGCAAATTTGAAATGCCAGACCAACACCAGTGCAACGCCCGAGATCACTGAGTGCAGTGGTTTTTAAGGATTTAAGCTCGTTATTAATGACTTATCAAAACTGTTTAGGATAACTTATATTAGATGTCACAAAGTCACTTGGTTAAAAAAAGCTTTCAGTGCTTCACTGTCAGAACCAGAAACTGCAGCTGTTTATTTAAAGAGATGTTTACTATTTGTGTTATAAATGTACTTGATCTGGGATTTTGAAATCCTTTATTTAAAAAGCTTCTTTTTTTTTAATGCATTACTTTTTTCAGTAACTTTATAACCCAAGTATGATCAATGATTTCTTAAATTTAAAGAAAAATATATAAATTGCCTTTGCATCGTTAGATAATTGAAATAAAAGAATAAAACAATTTTAGACTTTGGCAATTTCTATATAAAAATGATTAATCATAATATAATATAAGAAAATTGGCATGATGCAAGCAGTGATTATATCAAATTGTGAAGTTGACAGTTAACTTCACAATTTGGCTATATACTTAATAATAAATGTTTTAATAGTAATGTAAACGATCTAAACATCATGTAAAGAGTTGTTCACAGGTTTGTGTGTTTTGAAACAGCAGGGAAAGAAAAAAAAAATGTTGTCCTTAAATGACTTTTTAAACATTTAAGTCAAAAACTATGTGTTCCTTTCATTCATTTCCTGCCTGGCTTTTTTTTTTTACTGGTATAACGTGAATGTGTTTTCTGCTCAGCAGTCTCTAATCCTCAATATATTCATTGAAACAGAGTAGAGCAGCTTAAGCGCGACAGGCGCGAGACTGGAATGAAATCTCTACATCTGAATGTTGTGCAACACCTTTGGAAAGGATAAGAGAAGTCAAATTTTTTTATTTGACTGACATTATCCCCTAGATATGACCACACAGCTCCGTGTAACACTCACTCGTGAACATTTTATTTATGGACTTCTTCTCAATGATAAACTGTCGGCCATCTGAAAATATAGAAAAATTGGTTATTGGTAATGTTGAGACTTTATAGTGAGAGAATTTCTAGTGTAGCGGAGGTGAAAAAAATGCTCGGTAGTGCAGATCAAAATTTAGATTAAAAATCAATTAAAATGTATTTTGTGTTTGGCTTTTGTTGTCAATATTTTGTTAAAGCAACGATGCATGCCGAGTTGTCTAATAACTTTCTTTCTTCTCTTCTTGTGTGTCTCCAGTCACGGATGTGGAATTGAAGCGTCTGAAAGATGCCTTCAAGAGAACCAGCGGCATCACCTATTACATGACCCAGCAGTGCTTCTACAGGGAAGTGCTGGGAGATGGAGTTCCCCTTAAAGTTGCAGAGGTAAGTTTCCCACAGTAATCTCACACAGCGTATCCTGTGTTGGCTAAGTTTGGAAAACAAAAGCTCAATATCTGCACTGCAATAAACACTAGATAATGAACCATTAGACAAACCAGCATGCTGCCTCTCTCTCCTCCGTCCTTTGTCACCATGGCAGCCGTTACTGCGGTGACAGCGGTCCTGATCTGAGGCTGCTGCTGCTGGTCTCTTCAAACAGAAACATGGCTGCTGCACATTGTTACAGTTCAAAGAAAGCATGAGTCAGTGTAGAAACAGATGAGCTCTTTATAATGTGTACACTTTAATGAGCTGAATAAAAATACAATCTTTTTCAATCTCCAGACGTCTGATTTGACCATGATGCCGTTGGTTAAATCAATCTAGGTGCACCGGTGGCCTAGTGGTTAGTTTGCGCACCCCATGTACAGAGGTTGTAGTCCTCAAAGCGGGTAGCACCAGTTCAAATCCGTCCTGTGGATTGGACAGGATCCGTTACATAACCGCTAGGCTATCGACCCTCCACAAAGTTTAAATTTATTAGAAACAAAAACGGCCTTATTTGAATTTGAATTATAACCTTAAGAGTTTATGTAATGTAAAAACATTAGGTTGGCGTCTAGTTTTTTCACTCATGTTGTTGGATACGTAAAAAGATTAAGTTATTTATTAACTTGTTAAGTGTGGAAGAGGATGGAACTGAATATACTTTAAATCACTGGTTAAAAAGTAACACAGGAAGTTTGATGGTGAATTTAAAACTTCAAAGTATGACTCATGTTGACTTCTCCATTTGTTAAGCAAGAAGTGATGCTGCTCTAGTGTGTGTGTGTTTATGTGTGTGACCCACTGACACAGACACACTTCATTAGTTCACTGACTGCACAGTCACCTCTCAAGCTTCATGTTTCTGTTCACACGAGCAGCCTGAAATCTTCTCTTTCACGCTTTGTTGAATGTTGAGGGTCCGGGACCTTTTATCTAAAAGATAGAGATGAGCTGTTTATTGATGATGATGAGGATGATGAAACATTAGTTTTTTATGTTTTTGTATTTTGATGTAACGTGATCTTGCAATATAACACCATCAAAAACAACATATCTCAAACTGTTGCACAACAGAACCACTGGTGTCTTTAATCTTTTAATAACTCAGCAGATAGTTCTAAAAATAGATCAATCATGTGACGTGTCAGTTGTTTTTCAAGTGATAGTGTAAACTTTACTCCTCCAAAGGGTTGACGTCATCGGCGCTCTTTTCAAAATAAAAGATGAATTCCTGTATTTTTGCCTCCTGCTGATCGTGGTCGTACACACATCCTCTTTGCTCCGTGTCTGATCAAGAAGAAAAAACAACCTCAGATATAAAACATGAAGTCGTTGGAAACAGAATAGAGACATGATGGATGTGCAGCACTTTTATTCTCAGCGAGAGACCTTCCAGCGCTGTTTTGCCCGGGGGAAAAAACCGCTAAGTTGACATGGGGCCTACCTTACAGCATAGTCAGTGATATTTAAAAAAACAGATGGACTGTCTAAATCAAAACAAAGGGATTCATACAGCAAAATATTTGTTAAAGACAATACATTTATAGCAATCCTATTCTTCCAAGTATTCATCCCTCTTCGTCTTATGAAGTGAGAGCAAGTCTTTTCCTCTACAAAGCAAATAGAGTTGATGATTTTTTTAACCTGCGGCCTTAATAAGTTGTCCCTTTACTTACAACTTTTATTATCAAGATACAAAAGAGTGGAGGAATCAAATTTCAGATCCAGAATCTCTGAGACTTAAAGAGCAACTTCTCTTCAGACCAACTTGTATCTGCATACTCTGCTAACCTGTAAATCGTGTTGCAGACGGTGTGAACACGAGCCGATTGGAAGTTGTTTCGAACACTGCTTTCTTTGTTTCAGGTGATCTACAGCTCATTTGGAGGCTCGTCCAAAGGGCTTCATTTCAACAATCTGATTGTGGGTCTGGTGCTCCTGACTCGAGGACGCGATGAGGAGAAAGCAAAGTGTAAGTTTCTTCTGACGAACAAAGAGTCGGGTGTTTTAAACTGAATACACCACATATCACTGTCATCACTTTATGTAGTTGCTCTCGCCTCGGTGTCATCTTACTTCTTGTTAGTCCTTTGCATCATTTTAAAGCAAACAGAAAACCATGAAAGGAAGAAGATTGAAAGGAGGGGTCAGATTTGTCTGATTCACTGCATGCATGCACATTCTCATGATGCATTGCTCCAGTTTGTGGCAGACTGTTCACTGTACAGTTTGTTATGCACTTTTACAAAACCCAACATTACAATTTGACAAGTTTCCTTTTACAATTCCCCCTACATCCAAACCTATATTTGCCTCACAGAGCACAAGAACAACAGACATGACAGCGTTTGACAGCCGAATTAAACCAAAAACTCTGAACCGCCTCTCCACCAGGTTAGGAGAGCAGTATAAGTCAACACGGCGAAAAAGAGAGCCCGCTTTGTGACGCTGAAAACTCTGACTTTAATGCTCACCATTCCCGGCATCCTCATTTCTCGCTCGGGAGTGCAGCCCTTTGGATTAAAACGTTTGACACATTCATTATAATAATCCTTTGAAACATTAACGTTTTATCACAAGTCTGCCCTTTCTGCAGAGCTTTTCTAATGCAAAAGCATAAAAACACAATTATGGAAGCAGGACTTCTCTCTGTCTGTCTCTCCCTCATTGTTATTCTGAGAGCTGATGTTGATGTGTTGCAGGCAGAATAATCCATCAGGATGTTATTGACATTGTAGCTTCTTACTGAAGCCTGCCTTCCTGTGATAAAGCTCAAGTCTCTTCTGACTCTGTGTGTGTTTGTGTGTGTGTGTGCGTGTGTTTGTGTGTGTGCGTGCTCACAGACCTCTTCAGCCTGTTTGCCAGTGATCTGGGTGGATATGCTGCCAGGGAAGACATTGAAGGCGTTCTGCAGGTTCTGGATGGAGAAGTCCCAACATCCCTCAAGAAGTGCTTCAGTGAGGTCAGTAAACACAACACAGCAGGTCTGTCACAACAAACTACACACACACAACGAACACACCAGGGTCAAGTGTGTGTGTAAACGCGTGTGGTTTGAATAATAAAAACAGTCTAAAGGGAGCTTCAGACTGATATCTTTCTTATCAGCCGCCTTCTCTTGAAACCCTGGCTCATATCTCAGGGTTTGTTTTCATTATTGCAGAGGAGTTAGCCTCATGCTCATAGAACAGCTATTGTTAAGAGTTTCTCACATGGAGCCAGAGAGATAATACAAAGTTTGGCTTCATAGCGGGATATTGTTCTGCTTATTAGAATACAAAAGAGCCTTTCAGATCACGAAGTGCAACAAACAACTTGGGATAATAAAAAATAAAACGCAAATTAAGACCTTGATGAAAAACCCCCTCCTTCAGCAGAAGGTGAAGAGCTCGAGACACACACACACACACACACACACACACACACACACACACACACACACACACACACACACACACACACACACACACACACACCCTATTGGCACTGACTGCCTCCTCTCTCCTGCTCTGTATACTTTGCCTCAATTGTAAAGTTGGCACAGATGAGTTTAATCAGCAGCTGCAGCAACAGGAGAGCAGTACCTGACGCCTCGTTGCTACTTACGTATATTTACAGAGGCAAGTCAATCATTCATTCCTTTGGGAATCCCCTTGATATCCGATGTGCCTGCGAAAACTCCTCCCCTCCGTTATATTTCAGTCTCGAATGTAATCCAGTTCATAAAAAAAATTGAACTTTTGCGTTGGAATACGGAGAGACTGTATGACTGTGTGCTAGCTCAGCTAACAGGATGCTGACTAGCTAACAGACTATTTCCTTGGATTCAGTTGCCGATTTTGTTCGTAAAGTGAGTTTGTATGATTAAAAAGAACTTGACCTACCCTGGAAGATTGGATTGGAATAACTCTTGAGATGGAAAAATTGACCTGTCAATTAAGGATCCAAAAGGACAAATTTGGAACAACTGGATTGTATTCGTAGCCCCCACGAGAGCAGACTTTATTTGATCTCACTGGTAATATTGTTTTGTAGTTTAATTATTTAATTTCTGACTGGTTATTGATGATTATTTATATGACGACAACAGCAGACGACTTCCCTGGTTTCTGTTCATAGTTTCATGTTCTGCCTTTAATTAAGTTGTATCAGAGTTCTCTTTAAGTGGACATGTGAGCCTCATTTGGTTCTGTTTATCCCGGGCAAAATTGTCAGTACTGTCCTTAAGAGGTTAATGTGTACCCGCCGATATGACTTTATCACAATTGCTGTTAAATTTAAGTTATTAGGGGAGAGTGGACACAACGGACGAACGAAATCTGATCCACGATCTATGGCTTTACTTTCTTTGGACTCGAATTCCTGGATGGCTGATGTTGCGCCTTTTCCGGACTGAAAACAAACAAAACTGGAAGGACATTTGTTTCTATTTTTACTAATGTTGTTTTGTTGCTGTATCTGCCTGTCCAATCCAAATAAAGATACAATTTAAAAAATAAGAACTTGAGTATCGGGTAAGCACAGAATCTGAGAAATGTTAATCCGCTACAATATGGTTATACTTTATATAAAGTATTTATCAGATTTGTCAGTTCGATATAAAACACAGTCATCCTCTTTATCAGTTAAACATTAGTCTCTCCCTCGGCTACATGTAGTTTCTATTCATCTGTAAAGAAATGCTCGAGGACACTAGTGGCATCACCCCCATATTAACAGATCTACAGACATCAGTCACACGTGTAGGTGGAAACGAGGTGTGAGGAGTCGACAGGGGAGAGGGAGATAACACCTCAGCAAAGAGACACAACACTACAGAACATAACACCTCCCCCATAAGAGCTAAGTAGAAGTTTGTTTTAAACAGGGAAACCTCTCTTCATTATACACGTCACTTATAAACACTAACCAGATATGCCCCGAAAGTTGCTCACCACAAGTGCACTGTTAAACACACCATCTAGTGGCAGTAGCAGAACCAGCACCACTGCCAACCTGTAACACACCACCATGTGTCAGAACACTACATGTAGCTGAGGAGGAGTGACAAAAAGGAGCATATCTGCTTGATGACTTGTGAGGCGTTAAAAGAGATGTGATTCAACACGTGGCCAACACCAAGAACCATGAAGCCTACCACTTTGCTCAACACGTATTGCCACAACAACAAAGGTGAGCGACACTTTGCTGAAGTCAGCTGACGGACTGTGCGGCTGGACTCCTCGAGACAGACACACGTGTGGTTACAGGCGGAGATGCTGATCATCTCTTTCACTTTTTTCAACAAGTCTAACTGTGATTTCTGTTGTTGTTGCAGGGCGACAAAGTGAACTATGAGCGCTTCAAGAGCTGGCTCCTACAGAACAAGGAGGCGTTCACTTTGTCCAGATGGCTTCTGTCTGGAGGAGTGTGTGTCACGCTCACCGACGACAGCGACACACCAACTTTCTACCAGACCCTCGCTGGTGTCACACACTGTGAGTACAAGAAACACTCTCCTCCTATCATTTGTCTTCTCCATTATTCCATCTGCCCTTCATCAGTCAGCTCTCTCTCACCTCTCTGCTGCCTCCTATATCACACCACGATCGATGACTGCTTAACTGTTGATGCAGGATTTCTGTATCCATTACTCTGTAATTGTTGCCAAGGTTGACTTAAGGTTGTAGATGTATTTGTTGTTTAACTTTCGCAATTATATTGAAGACTCCAGAAGTTGGCTGCTCAAGTAATGTGGCAAACATTATCTGTATCCAGATCAAAGCAACCTAGAACCCAGTCCTTTACAAAGAAGGTCAGTCTGTGTTGATCCTCTGTAGTCTATTTTTTTGGTGTTAGAGGTGAGGTCCAAGACACTTACATGACATCCAAATAATCAGTGAGTAGGCTGTGTTATTCTTCTTTTCTGAAGTCATTGACTGAAACAGCTTTATACATAAGGTCGTCCCGTCCATGTACACATGATGTAAACACGTCTCAGACAACAGTACAGCTGGCGGGACTCAGGTTTCTCACTCACTGTAGACAGTCATGACTCAGAGGTATTTACACATGAGATACTTGATTACTGCTGTATCTATGTGTAAAATGTCGAACAGCATTCCTTTAAAACTTTTCTGCAACTTTGCTGCATTTGAAGAAAATGTGTAAATCGGCATCTTTCAACAGGTAGAACAAGAGACACAGGGAATATGTCAATCAAATAATTTGTATTGATATTGAACCAAATCACAGCTTCGTTATCTCATGATTCTCTAAATAAAGTTTACTCAGATTCTCTACGTAGAATTCACTTCAGTCAACTTGATTTCCCCCCCAAAAAAGTTCTTGCCACTGTACAAGACCTTGAGAAAAGAAACTGCATTGGAATTATTTTTTCTAAATTCCACCAAATGTAATGTATATTTAATAGAAGTTCTTCCACAGCTTATTCCTTCTACTAACAAAGATTTAACTGTGAAGCATGTTTGATTGCCCATCAGTAGGTAACAAAAAGAGCAGTTGGTTTTGCATCAATCCTGTTGGCTGGAAGCCGATGAAGACCTTTTTTATTATTATTATTATTAAGAGGAACAGGTTTTAGAAATCATTGGACAAAATAAATATCTTAATTTCATCATAAAAATTCAGTATTCCAACATCAGGATTATTCATTTAACCAGGTCATGTTGCCTCATGTTACCTCTCATTATCACATCTGTTTTCAGTTTCTATCTCATTTGTTGATTATTTCTTAAGCTTTATGTTTGACTTGGATATGTCTGCAAGATACCAAGATTTTGGCGGCTGTTGCTCAGTTGGTAGAATCAGTCGTCTCTCAACACGGAAGGTTGGAGGTTTGATCCCCAGCTCCTGCAGCTACATTTCCGTTGTGTCCTTGGGCAAGACACTTAACCCCAAATTTCTCCCGCTGTCTCGTCAGCGGCGACGTGTGTGAATGAATGGGATAAGTTACTTCTGGCGTTCGCATAGCAGCCTCTACTATCAGTGTGTAGATGGATGTGAATGTTTAGGTGTGACATGTGGTGTAAAAGCGCTTTGAGTTGTCAGAAGACTCGGAGAGGACTAACAAGCTCAAGTCTATTTACCATTTGGAAATCCAACAAATATTGTACTGATATCTGATTTTTGATATTCTTATCTTGAAGAGAAATTAATTGTCGAGGTTGTAAAAAAAAAAAATCATAATCAAAATCAGAACATATTTAAAATATAGAACAAGGGAAAAAAATATACAGACATGTTCTTTCAAGTAAATTTAGCCAGGCTTTATTTTGCCAATTAAGGACAGAGGGCTGGAAAAGCGTGTCTTGTAAAGAGAACCTGGACGCTGCCTTTAATCTGCTGATCCTCTTAACTTAGTGTCTCTGACTGTGTGTGTTGGAGAGGGAGAGAGAGAGAGTGACTGACACTCCCTGATCCATGATTCTTTCTAGAAAAGGAACATGAAGCTTGACTCACGGCCGAGCTTAGAGCAGCGAATCCCCCCTCCCTCCGCTAACTTGCTAGCGTCCGATAGCGTTGTAATATTCTGAGAGTGGAAATCTGAGGGAGAAACGGGCGTCGGGTCGGGATGACGTAGATTTCTGTGAGCAGTGATCAGGTGGAGGTTAATATGCTGAGCGCTGGCTGTGGCAGCACCTCTCCAAGGATGTTCCCTGGATAATGGTATGGTATCTCTGCTGCAGGTCGGAGAGAGTTGCACCTCTAGGTGGGTATCACGTCAGACAGTCAGACTTGCTGTGATTGTTGTTCTCTTTTAGCAGCTATTGTTGGAACAGTTTGTTGGAGATCTTTTGACCTTTTAATTGGTATTAACAGACAGGGCAATTTCATCTGATGACAAATACAGACCTTTGTTTTATTGGTAGATTTACGAGGAGAGAACGATATCAATCCTTAAAGTTTCTAATTCTTGGTTTTACAAACACATCTTGGTTAATGCTTCAATCTTAAAAAGGAAGAGCTTGTGTCAAACTTCCTATCAAGGTTCCTACACCTGTCTAAGTTTTTAACAGAAAGTTCCTGAGCTAGGACATTTTTTCCCAATCGTACCCATACATTTAATTTATGAAGGTGTCAAAGAGTAAGTCAGGTATCACTAAAACTGGGCCCTATCTTCTGCATCTGTTTGATTCTAAATGATTGGGTATAATAGATTGAGAAATGTAGAAATGTCTATGTCATATTGCTTCAGGTAGCAGTCACAAAACTGGCTGCAGTGACGACTACTCCTTGACTTAATATACAACCCATCAAAGTAAGACCCCTAAAAGTTCTTGTTTGTGTCACTGACAGACTCAAATTGATTTTCTGAGTGTCTGAAAACATTACAGAAAAGATTCCTACAGTAGTGGACGATAGCGGAATATGATCATTTTTGGACCAGGAGCGTTCCCTTGAAGGCATTCAGTCTTTAAAGCCACCCGAGTTGATTTATAAATATGCTAGTTGAACATGGGAGTTGCTGGTCTACAGATGCATCAATCAGTTACTTCTTCGTGTTATTGTGTGTTATATGATAATTGTGTAAAGACTCATGATAACACCAACAAAATAACGGATCGAGGTAGAGCAGCAAGTCCTGTGTTCTGTGATGTAAAATGACTTTGTTGTCAGACATGTAGCATAACAAACTGAGCTTGCTTTTTCATAAGCATACTTTTATTGGGTGCATTTTCCTGCAGAGATGACCCGTGCAGTCATAAAGAACCTAAAATAAGAATTAGTATGAAGTTTAAATGAACACCCTGGACCTATTTCTGAGGCACTTTTCCAGAAACGTACGTACGTCTTTGCTTATATACCTGTTGGTGAAGACTCTGGTGTGTCTCTGGTCATCTGTATCTAAAGGATGGCCTGTCTGAAAGCTCATTTACCCCTAATGCATTTAAGGTCCTTTAGCTTCTGGCAGGTTCCCCTGCCAAACCCAAATTTTTAAGACTGCAATCGTTCCAAGAATTTGAGTTCAATCAAAGCCACTGATACTGATGTAACCTTCATTAATACCGTAGCCTTTTCGTTAACAAGGAGCCATAAAGATTTATAATGAGCAGTTCTGAAAAAAAGCTTCCTGTAATCGCTTGATTCAAAATAAAACTGATGCTAACAGACTGAAATTAAAGCCAGTCTAGAGGTGAGTTTAAACATCTCTAAACTGATCAAATTAAACCCAACTCAACCTTATCCTTCTTCCTTGTGTTCCTTCTGCTCATGGCCTACATGAACACAATTTGGTGAAAGCTGTTGCTTTATTGACAAAATGGAAACCAAACCAGAGGAGGAAAAAGAGCAATCAAAAATGTAAACAGGAAGCAATGGATACCCATCTTAATGAAGCTGATCAGAAATGTTCCACAAAGATATTTCTGAAAAGTTAAGTGCTGAAAGTTCGTTTGTGGGATGAAAGGTTGCCATTGCGTATCTATACCTCGCTACTTTTTCATACACCATGTTATTTTACTAATCAATAATATATAAAGTACAAAAGCTTTGAAAAAAACGAAAGATCTTAGTTGTATTTTTAACAAAAAAGCTGCCACAAGTGAAAGAGTGGATGTGTAAAAATGCCAACACATCTGCAACACATCCACAAAGCCTTGCTGATTAGGACTCCATCACAGTTTGCTTATTTTATTATTTTTCTTGAGCAGGTTACCTCTTGGTTTTGTTGAGTTTGCAACTAAGCGTTGATACATAAGGTTAGTCCAGAGTCTGCTCAGAGGTGTTCAATAATGTATCACTCTCATATTATTTCCTCCATGTCTTCTCCATATAGCCGCCTTTAGCTCTAAATTATTGATTTTGCACTCAGCGCTCAGCGTTCAGTTTGTTTAGGTAGAAACAAAATGTCCTGAGGCCGGACATGGAGGTGAACACAAAATGTTAAAAAGGATGGAATTCCTCCCAGCCAGGTCAAGGTCAACTGTCCTGAGGTTTACATCTGAATACAGGGTCAGAGGCTTTGAATGTACACGCATGCACACAATACTTAGGTGGTTTTGTAAAACAAGACTATTTGAAGAGTAGAAGTACTGATATTACTTCTTTTATCAAGTAAATGTTTGAAATGTCCTCAGGGAGTAAAGAACAAAGTAAAAACAGTCTATGCAAAGCTAACTGAAACTCATCTCATATGTAAATCAAACTGCAGAAAATAAGGAACATGAAGTTTGTAAAACAGCTGGATGGGGCTTGTCTGCTCTAAATCTGCTGCTTGTCGTCAGCCATGTTGGATCCTTCACTTTCCTCCATGTGGCTCAAAGTTCTCCCTGTCACTCACAGACATCACATTCACCATGTGTCTTTTCTCCACGCTCCAGTTTGCCTCTCTGTCTGTTTTTTTTTTTTTTATCTGGATATGTCTTTAGCTTTGTCGGATGTGATTGATGCACCAAGGAATCTTCTTTTCGTCCATCAATGTAGGTTAAACCCGTCTTCATGTTGGGATTGTAGGGTGCAATGATGTTCAATGAAAAATAATGAATCACTCCGCTCCAAGGCATCAAAGCTACAGTAAAAATCCTGTTTTGAAAATGTGAAGATTAAAGGGGAAATTTAAATATTATAGAGGAAAAATACCAAACACTACTCAAATCTAACAATGACGGTCAAAAGTAGCTTTTAACAACAGTGTCCCTTATTGCAAATTAAAGGTCCCCCAAAGGAAGTGTGTTTCAACCTGTGGCTCCTACAGGATCATGTATTATTAACATCCACGTCAGGTTCTGGACCTTTTTTGTCTTATTATTATCTTTATATTTTAGGGCCCAACTGATATGAGATTTTTGGGGCCGATATTGATTGGAAGAAAAAAGTCAGATACCGTTATAACTGCGGATATCTTTCGTAGATCCAAGTTGGATCTGTGAAGATAGATAGATACTGTAGATATACACATTTACTGTGTTGATCCCTCAAATACAGTTATCAAAGACTTGTGGAAAAAGATGCAAAATAAAGACAAGATGGTCACTCAACTGGAAAGTAACTGGGCATGGACGTGCATCGCCTACTATTTTTCTTTATCTGTAGTCGGCTCGATCAGGTGCCTGACTGTTCAAAAGAAACATAAGTAGATGACACTAAGGTTTGATTGTGCTGTGATATGTGCAGTTTGTGTCATTCAGAAAGTGCTCCAGAATAAACATTTCTGCATGTTTATTAGTTTTAAGTAACCCTGTGCTGGCCGCTCTACCTGTTCTTTACATAGCTTTGATTGGTAGTCTCATTTAAAGCAATCCGGATTTGGTAGTCTTCTAACGTCTGTATCTGGATCAAGGTGATCCAATCAAATGTAGCTTTGAACAGCAGGCACTAAAGTGCTGGATCATCCTGGATATCAAGAAATGCCCCTTTGAAATTCTGGTAATAGTGGATTTACTTGTTTAATCAGGACGGGAATCGCAGCCTGAACGACAGAGCGATACCCCTCTTACACCGAACAACAACTTCCAGGATTCACAAGCACTCGCCCACAACCATAAACATCCCCTCTGACTGGAAGCTGTGACCAATAACTGGGGAGTACAAGCTTCTAGGAAGGTTTTTTTTATGACCCAACTGGAAAGCCTTAGTCCACTTTCTGTCAGGAAATGACCTCCGTTTTATTTCCCTGTGTGTGTTTTGACACGTGTCATATGTTGTGGCTCCATGCCAGATGCTAGCTAGCTGGCTAGCTGCTGAATCCTATTACCTTAAGCTGCAGATTAGCATGTTGAAAAGGGGGAGGCTGGGTCATTGACCCGGGCAGCGCTGTATATACTATATTGGCTGAGTCATATGAGAACATCTCAGATTTGCTGTTAACATGACAGCTCTCATGTTTACCTTTCCTGCTTGGTCCCAATATGTAAGTGCTCCATGTAGACCCAGAGGTTGTTGAAGGGATCAAATATACAACAACTTTCCTTGGGAAACGTCAGAATCCCTCATGGGGAGTGGAAAAACGTTCCTGGGAGAGGGAAGTCTGGGTCAACTTGCCTGCCGCCATCACAACCTAGATACACAGAGGAAAATGGATGGATTGTTGATATGGATGGATTGATGTTTAGGTGTGTATGGGGCTAACATGGATGTGCAATGTTCACCTTGTAGACTTGATGGAAAGACTGTTAACATGTCACAGTACTGCATTGGATTCAGCCAACATTAGCTGGTAGAATAACTTTAGTGATTGACTGTAGAAACCAGGTAAGAACAACACCTTCCACTGCTCTTCACTGCACTCTGGTGTTGTAGAGAAGACAGGTGGACCCCCTCCTAAGGGGCTCTGCTGGGGGGGGCGTTCTTCATACTCCATCACTGCCATATCTCTCCAACCAACGGTCATCAGCATCACCAGGCCTTGTTTCTGACATGTGATCTTGCTCGTCTGCACTAAAACACTTCACTGTGTATTCATTAAACCTTGTAATAGTTATACGCTGTGTTTTTGACCCCTCTTGTTTCCTGTCCTGCAGTGGAGGAGTCCGACATTATAGACTTGGAGAAGCGCTACTGGCTGCTGAAAGCTCAGTCCAGAACTGGACGCTTTGACTTGGAAACCTTCGTCCCGCTGGTCTCTCCTCCTATCCACGCCTCCCTGAGTGAAGGTAAGACAGACTTGAACTATTTATTTAATATTAATGAACATAACAATAATAATAATAATAATAATGGTCCTTTAGGAGGAAGTTGACTTGCTTGGAGGAAGACACAAATGGCAATAAAAATAGATGAATGTGATAACAGGAGACAAATGCAATAAAAAAGAAATTCAAGCCATAGAGAGAAATATTAGATACAAATATGTAGGACATACGGTATTGAAGCAATCAGAAGAATACAATGAAGTGAGATAATGAAGGCATTAAGAAGATGACATCCTGTAAAAACACGTCTATAAAACTGAGTTATTAGACGTCCCTGATTCCGCACACCTTCTGCATGTCCTGCGGCAGGTCGTTTCTGAGCCGCAGAGCTCTGCTGGCACATCTTAAGTCTCACTTTGCAGGGTTATTTTTTTTTAATCTCCAGAGAGTAGCGTTTGTGTTAATATTGTCTATATTTATTTGTTTTTTTTCAGGCTTGTTTCACGCCTTTGACGAGAACCGGGACAATCACATCGACTTTAAAGAGATCTCTTGTGGACTGTCTGCATGCTGCAGGGGGCCGGTGGCTGAAAGGCAGAAATGTGAGCCATGCTGTGGTTTTTAATCATTACAGATAAATGCATCCCAAAGGCTTCACACACACACGCGCAATCTGTTTCTTCTTTGAAGCTGTTATTTGGGGTTTAAAATGTAAGCTGGAGGGTGAGGGTGTTTTTTTGGAAAGTGGCAGATTGTAGTTCATTAGTGCACAATCACTGGAGCTTGAAATTACATTTGCAGAAATGGATTTCCTGCTAATAGTCTAAGCAGCATTATGTGTGGTTTGCAAGCCGAGAATGAAACTTTTGCATCTGTATTTTCCTTCATAACTAACTCATATCTTCTCTGTCCTCCTCTGCTAGTTTGCTTCAAAGTGTTTGATGTTGACCGTGACGGGGTTCTGAGTCGAGATGAGCTGCATGAAATGGTCGTGGCCTTGCTGGAGGTGTGGAAGGACAATCGCACAGACACACTGCCTGTAAGTTCAAACACACACACACACACACACACACACACACACACACACACATAGACACACTGACACACTGCCTGTAAGTTCAAACACACACACACACAGACACACTGCCTGTAAGTTCAAACACACACACACAAACACAAACACTCTGAACAAAGATGCATGTACAAACTGTGTGTGAACAGAACAAAGGACGTTAAACTTTGCTCCCTCTACTGTGTCGTCCCTTTAAGAGACTAAAGATCATCTTCTTTTATTGTTTTTATTTTCTTCAAATAGTTGAATGCAAACAAAACCTCTGCTTAGGCCTAAGTCTGGTCGCTTTCTAACCCGCTAAATATTAGAAACGTCTAATTAAATGAACTCCTTAGTTGCCCTTACTTGTTTCTGTGGGTCTTCAAACCCAGTAGGTCATTTCCAAGTGATCTCTTCTTGAGCTCCAACTCTTTACAGTTCATACTTGTGGGGCCTTGAACCCTGTACATTACTGCATTCATTTGGTAATATATACTTGTGTTCTATTACATGCAGTGTCATCTGAAAAGAGTTTTTCTCACCATAAAAATGTTCTTATAGGTAAAATTGGAATTTGAATAAGCACATTTCAAGATTGCTTTATTCAACATTTTGGGGCGGCTGCGGCTCAGTTGGTAGTCGTCGTCTCTCAACCTGAAGGTTGGGGGTTTGAGTAGTCAGACTAGATAAGCACCATACAAGCTCAAGTCCATTTATCATTTACCTTAACATTTTGCAGGATGCTAAGGACTTATACTTGTAAGCACAGACTACACATAGAAACTGATCTTCTGTTTTACTCTTTAAGTATCTAATCATTGCTCCAAAACAGAGAGAGTCCTGGCTCAATCTGAACACAGATCAGTTAAATGTATGATCATGGATAAAAACCTTTACACATCCACTTCACAAGACGGGTGCGTAGGAGAGCAATGTGTCCATCAAAAACTTCAAGATAAACTCTTGCACACTGTCAAACTTGCAAACAAATGTTTATTGGCGTTTCGGTACTAGACCTTCATCAGGCAAAAAACATTTTTAGTTCTGAAAAGTTGACAATAAATGTTTGTTTGAAAGTTAGACTGTTTGCGGGAGTTTATCTTTTAAATGTATGATTATGAAACTGAAAATGTTGGGTTTTAATAATGGTGATGATGATGGCATTGAGCCAGTCAACTATTGTAGTCTTAATGTCATATTTTTAAGTACTGGACTGTTGTGATTTGTCCACATCAGTAGACGAGCATGAGCTGCTGCATGGTGTTTGCCTTTTTATGCTAATATATATTGTGTTATGCTAATGTACCTTTCAGGAGCTGCACAGTAGTGTGTCCGACATCGTAGAGGGCATCCTGAAGATGCACGACACAACCAAGGTGAGACACCCGACTCTTCATCAGTCGTCATTTGTGTAGCCTTTAGAAGTGAATCCTTTGATTTTGGCTCCATAATATTCAGATTTTATAAATCCTGATGCAGAGAAGGTTAACTCCAGCTTTGACCTGCTTCACAGTCTTGTAGTTCCACATGTTGTCACTAGGGGCTAAGATTTACATTTGAAATACTTTGATACCTAACCATGTGTTTTAAAATACAGTCCCAGCTATTTTAATGAGTAACAGTGTTGAAAAGTAAAGAAGCTTTTAAAAACTTAAAAACTACGGATCTTCAGTCATTTCTTAACCAAAAGCTGCCAGTTACAGACAGAGCACTGTCGAAACTGTACAAATGCTTTCGCAATGAAATGTTGCCAAAGTATTTGTACAAGTCAGACAACATGAAGGAGAATTCCCATCAGACCTGCAGCAACCCTGCAGTTGTGCAAAGATTTTTCTTCACTCCTTTAAAGGAGCGGGATCTTGATTTTTATTTGTTTGAAAAAAGTAAATCTGATTATTCTGGTGTTTTTCTTCCTCACCAGTTGGGTCATCTGACCCTGGAGGATTATCAGATCTGGAGTGTGAAGAGCGCTTTGGCCAATGAGTTCCTAAACCTGCTCTTCCAGGTCAGTACACACACTTCCTGCTGTTGTACAACTTGTGTTTTTGTGAAATTGCAAAGATGAACTCATCATTTTCCATGTGTTTTGTACTTGTGTGTTTGTCTTGGTCCAGGTCTGCCACATTGTCCTGGGGCTTCGGCCTGGTACTCCTGAGGAGGAGGGACAAATCATCAGGTACAAATCTGTTTTATTTACCGGCCTCTGCTTGGGTAAAGAATAGCGTGCCTGTTTGATGTATGTTTTCTTATCAGATTTGTCTTTTTTTCCCTGTGTGTGTGTGTGTGTGTGTGTGTGTGTGTGTGTGTGTGTGTGTGTGTGTGTGTGTGTGTGTGTGTGTGTGTGTGTGTGTGTGTGTGTGTGTGTGTGTGTGTGTGTGTGTGTGTGTGTGTGTGTGTGTGTGTGTGTGTGTGTGTGTGTGTGTGTGTGTGTGTGTGTGTGTGTGTGTGTGTGTGTGTGTGTGTGTGTGTGTGTGTGTGTGTGTGTGTGTGTGTGTGTGTGTGTGTGTGTGTGTGTGTGTGTGTGTGTGTGTGTGTGTGTGTGTGTGTGTAGGGGTTGGCTAGAGAGGGAGAGCAGACATGGGCTGCAGCAGGGTCAGAACTGGTTCCTCATCTCCATGCTGTGGTGGCAGCAGTGGAAGGACTACGTTCAATATGTAAGTCATCTTAAAGACATGTGTGAATATAGATATGCACCAATGTAACAACACCATATCACATTTTTAAAGAAGCATTTTATAAAATAATTCCATATCAACTTTTGCCTTGAAAAAGCGTCATATCATTCCTTTACATCATGCAACATCTAATGCTCAGAAGGAATCTGTTTGAAGACAGACATGTAAAAAAAAAAAAACTACAAGATCCATATCAGCACACTGGGATAGATGCAGAGCAAACACCTCATTAATCTCAGGTAAACCTTGACAGGGCAGTCCCTGCGTTTCTCTTCCTGTGCAGGAGCATAAGGGCATCGTGGTGGAGCAGCCGTCCATCCTGGGCTCGCTGCGGACCCCCATGGCCACAGCCACCGTGGAGCCCAGTCCACCAGACAGACTGGGAGGACTGGGAACCTTCAGCCAGGTCAGCCCTTCTGAGGAGAGGTCACCCGATGCTGTGTCCAGCGCCTCGGAGGCTACAGAGAGCGGTCAGTCTGCACACTGCGCAAAATATGAAAACGAATCCCAACACATGCTCAGACTGTGCTGATGTAGCATCCTTTCTGTCCTTCCTGGTTTAATACAGTTTTTAACATGCATTCAAAAGCTCCTGTACAATTACTGTTTTACAGTTTGTGTTTTCAACAAGCTTATCTGAAGCTTATGGCTTTGTATTTGCCCATTAGCTGTTATTCAGGGCTTTACCATGAGTTAAAACTAATCAACTATATCTCAGGATCAGCAACACAAGAACAAAGTTATCCAAAAACCAGATTGAATTTATTACATAATCAGAGATTATGGACCCTGATCATGTTGCAGAATTGTATTTAAAAAGTGCATTTGTATTTTATTATTGAACAAATATTCTTATCAAGGCAGTCAACATTAACGTGTTAATTAATGCACTTACTCTAGAGACCTTTACACGGTAATGATTTTGAATGACTTGGACTGAAAGGAGCAGTCATGATACGGGCTGAAGTGATGTAATACTCTTTGATCATGAAGGCTGATGTTCCTCCGTGGACTATCACTGAAATATAAGGACCGCACTGCAGGCTCAAGTTTCTTTAAGCTGTGAAACAACAGTCTAAAACAGACAAAAGATCAGGGTCATTACACACAGATCCCTGTTATGAAACAAGACGTGTGTCTCCTCATCGCACTGAATTATCATAAACTTACTGTCAACATCTCCCAATCGAGTCATTCACAGCACTAGAGACGCTTTAAAAAGGGTGGAGCTGGCTTCAGACCTTTTTACTTAAAAAGATTATAAAGAGGCTTCTCCTGTTGCATAAGGTTAGCCATTCATTGTCTTCTCAGGCAGTAACGGTCAGCTGAACCATAGATGTCTGAGCGGACATCTTCAATCCATAGAGTAATTTTTATAGGAGCCTCAGTATGCGTTGTGGTGTTAGTGATGAGCTGGCAGCCTCAGGTCAGTTTGCCTGGACATCAGGGCTGGATCCAGGAGGAGGCCAGAGAGCCTCACTTTAAATCTGATCTTCCACTCTCAAATCCTAAATGAATTTGGGCTGTGTTGCAACAGACTGCTTGTAGCTTTCTTTGCATTTCATTTTAAGTATTTTAAAAAGTAAATAAGAGGTGTTATAGTGATGAATCACAGCCTCTTTTCATGGAAAACATCACAATCTCACACAGGAATAAAATGTAACTCTTTTGTGTTTTCTTTCTGCTTCTTTCCCTCTCCTCTGATCCAGCAGCCCTGAGCCCGCAGGTAGTTCCCTCTGCCACCGAGAGTTGTTTCGCCCGACAGCACAACGTGTCAGACAACAACAATCAGTGTTTTTCTGGAGCTAACGGACACCTCCCCTCCCAGCTGGCAGCACAAAGACCTGGCGCCATCGACAACCAGTCTCTGGTCAATACTGACCCCATGAAGGCAAGCTGTAGTGTTGTTTTGTTGATGTGTTGTTTTAAGAGGCAGAATGAGCCACACACTCTGTTCAGCTTCTTTACATGAAAATATTTTGAACTCTAGTGTTGTCATGGTTACATCTTAATAAGAAGCAGCTAGCCTAACTTTATTTTGTATTTGTGTGCTCATGTGTTCAGCCTGAAATTGTAATTGTGATGCAGGTCAGATTTGTACAAATGTCTTTAAGCTTACCACGTCCTGATTAAAACACTTCCTGCTTTTTCCCCTTCTCACTTAAAGAAAAGGAACCACTTATCTGTATCTATTGAAAAATGTCAGAAATACACCTACTACCAAGCCTCTAAAGCTCAATGGTTTCCTTGCTTTTTGTAGTTTAAGTAATTAAATTTAACAGATACACAAAGTTTACTCCCCCATGATGCACAGAATCTACAAGCTGGCTCTGTCACTGTGTTGGCATTTGAGTTCTCTCACAACCAGTATATTTGGCTTCTGTAAATGCAATAGAGTGAATCAATAACGAGTCCTAAAACCTGGAAATGAAATAGCATTTTCACACCTGTGGTTCCATCCTCAAGAACCTTCAGACCCTGCTTTGTATAGCAGAGGTAAAGATTTGATATTCTAAACGAGGAGTCACTCCTCCTCCTCTGCTGGCTCAGGCTCTCAAGGACCAGATGGTGCTTCCTTTTCCCTCTGTCTTATCTCTGTATTTTGCTGTAATGACAGAGGATACAGTCCCTGTCTATTATCTGTCATTTGAGCAGGCAGAGTGGTTTTATTTTGTGCACGTGTTTAAATGCTGTGTCCCTGCAGGCCCCCACGTTAACCATGGAGGGCGGCCGGCTGAAGCGCACCCTGCAGCTGCCGCATGGCAGAGACTTTGAGACGGTGCCAGAGCCGGTGTGGCGGGCACTCTACCACTGGTACGGTGCCAACCTAAGCCTGCCGAGACCGGTGAGTTTATACAGAATATTCATACTTATCACGTGATCAGGATCATTGGCCCTGTGATGATCAGATGGGCTGTTGTCAGGTGTAGAACTGAGATACATATATGAATCATTATTCACATTTCATTTCAGTCCCCTCCCCTCAAATATAGGAATTCATAGAACTTTGATTTTAGGACAGGTGTTTAGATTGGTATGATTTAACCGAAAATGTTATAATAACACATGACACAAAATCTAAAGTCTAATGAGTGGGAAAATAAATATTTTAAACGACAACCAAAGAAACTGCAGATAAGAAATTGGATTAAACCAATTCTGGCTTTGTCTTTTTTACAAATAAGCTGTTTTCACACATGCACCCCTGAAAATTCATTAAAAAAAATGTCAGGCCAGCCTGACTGAAAATTTAGAAATGTTCTCACACGTGTCCCTCACAGCTGGAGATGTTCCACTGGAGGCAACCAATGTCCTCGAGATCGCTGTGGTCAAATTATAACGAGATATCCAAGATGATGAAACAAAGTCTGACACTATATTGACAGTTTTTGCCTTTACAGTAATGATATGTGTAATTGGACATATCCTCGATATCTACTAAGGAGAGTATGAGAAAACGCTTTGTTTTGTGAACTACCACTTATTGGTCAGGTGATTTAAACATCATCACTCTCTCCTTCTCATCAGAGGTGAGTGTTGGTTTTAAGAAAAAAACAAAAAGAAGAATATTTCCAGCTACATTCACTCATCTATTCACTTTGACTTCATGCAGAAAATGTATGATTTGGTTTTGTGCATGTGTGATGATGACACCATTAAACCTGATGAATGCTTCATTGGGGTCTTAGCATACCATTGCTTATTAAATAAATCACTCATGTAATTTTTAAAGTTATGGTGAAACTTTCCAAGTATGAAACTGATAAAACGACAACAGATATTAAAAAGCCAAAAGAGTCAATCTGACCAGCACAGGAAAATATTTAAAAAATGTACCAAATCGCACGATAACACATTTTCATTGCAAGCTGTAAAATGAGAGTTAAAATATTGTGCTAGAGTGTTATTTTGTTTATTTTCAAATGTGGCTTAAAAAAATGGAAGCAAGACTTCAGCTTTGCAAAGTGGGAAAAAAAAACATCCATGTTTTCTGAGTATTGATGACACACATTTTCAAAAGCACAACAGTGGAGGAGATGATAAACAAACAGTGATAATCTTTAAGACTTCAGGGTAGAAAAACTAAGAGCTCTTCTCCTCCTCCTCCTGTGAGCTCCTGTGAGTTTTTTTTAGCTGGTCATGAAGCAGACCGAAATAAATACTGATGTCTCTTTATGACCAACAAAGGAAATAAGGTCAGCCGCGACAAAAACAAAAGATTTCTGTCATGTTATTTTTAATGCCTGAAACTTCAGCACCGGGGTAGGTGGCAGACAAAGTGACTTACTGCAAACAGCCTTGTTTACATGTTTCAATGCAAAGATTATTAATGAGTGATACGTTTGATTGTTAAAAGAAAGTGGGATGAGAGCTTTTGTTAAACATCACTAGAACAGGTACCTCTCTGTCCTCGGGGGGGGGGAGGAGTTCCTCACATACGTAGAAATGTTTGTAGACACATCTCATAGAGGCAAGGGTCAAGTTTTACTGGTTTTATTTTAGAAAAGTCTCTAAGTTGAAACATTAAAAACAGGCATATTAACTGCAGCATAATTCAAGTTTCTTACAACAAAGGTTTTATTCTTCAAGATCTTTACCAAACAGAGCAAGAAAGGACACTTTAGCAATAACTGCTCATTGTATGGCGCGTCAGAATAGTCGTGAAACTTCCCCTTCCATCCTTGCAGGTGATCCTGGAGAGCAAGACAGGCCAAGCAGAGCTGGAGCTCTTCCCCCGCTTCCTCCTCTTCCTCCGCCAGCAGCCGGCCACGCGCTCCCCCCAGTCCAACATCTGGGTCAATATGGGTATGACCAGTCTGCGAATGTTCCCTCCGTATTTACCCGCAGCAAGAGGTAAAGTAAGCCTGCAGCAAGACCAGAGCAAGCCGTCGACAAACGCTTCATTGAGCCACCCTGCATCCCCCCCCCTTTAATCCTCCCAGAGTGGACTGATCCAGCCCTGGCAGTGCTCTGGAGTGGGCGGTGGAATAAACCAAACGGCCCATGAAGGGGAAAGACTGCTGATCACTCTAAAAGATGCATAATTTCAATCTTTTCCATCTTCACAGACTTTGCTGCTCATGTATTAGTTTTTGAAAACACTTGTTTTAGTTCTCTGCGGTCGCCTTTATTATTTCTCCTCTGAATCAAAGCCCTTTGAACAGTCAGGGATCTGCAGTGTTATTATGAATTTCAGTAAATTCTGCTCTAGTGTACTCACAATGGAAACCCTAAATGTAGAGTAACTCAGTGCAGTGTCTGTTGTCCTGTTTTATTACATCCAAGTGGATTCATTGGACAAGTATACACTATGAACGCGAGTGGAGATGTGCACATTTGCTGCGGTGTAATCAGGTTTGGAGATGGCATCAGTACTGAGCTGGAGAGCGCTGGTCCTCTTCGAGTATCAGGTTTTGCCCCCAGTGAGGATTCGGCTTCCAGCATGACTCATTCTGAGCCCAGGCAGCTTTTTACAGCGGCCCCTATTTTAGGCTCCAAGCCAAACATCTAAAGTGGATCTAATTCTGCCTCATAATGTCCTCTGAGAGCCTGAAGGCAACAGCAGAGCACTGAACAAGTCTACAAGACCTTTTTGTTCTTCTGGTAGTGATGCAAAGCTGTGCAGATCGAAAACAAAAAAAAGTTTAAGATCATTATTTGTAAATCATACATTTGGGATCAATACTAGTTCAATGAAGCTTTAAATTGATTTAACAGAACTAATGTTTTGTTTTTTTTGTATTTGATTTAATCCAATCAGAGTTCACTAAATCCACCACACTGATTGACAAATCAAGTCTGCACTGATTGACCGAAAAGCCCTTTCTTGCTGCTTCCTTACAACTAATCCTCAGTCACCAGAGTGTTGATTTTGTGACTTTTTTGTGACTTTTTTGATTTGATACTGTAAGTCCTTCCAGATATGAAGAAGTCAGATGAGCTTTCAAACAATCTGCTGCTGTAAGTGTGTTAACGCTCGTCTTTGTGCTTCTCAGCGGGCAGCGTGCCCTCGCCCAACGCTCCTCTGAAGAGGGTGCTGGCCTACACAGGCTGCTTCAGCCGCATGGGCACCATCAAAGACATCCACCTGTACCTGTCCCAGAGACTCCGCATCAAAGAGGAGGACATGAGACTCTGGCTCTACAACAGTGAGGTGAGCTGCAAAGACATGTGTCCAATCATATTCACAGGGCTACAAATACAGATGTTTCACATGTCCTTTTGGTGTCTTGTAAAGATGCAAAAGTACAGAGAGCAGAGGAGGAGGCACTTTCTAAATTGCAGAAATACATTGGCAATGTTTCAGTACCCGAACGTTGCCAATGTGTGTGTGCCTGGCATAATATTGGATGTCTAGGACTTATTTTTTTGTCATTGCTGGGGCATTGAAACAAGTTAAATATTGTTTATTTTTATTAGAACCGTATGAAAGTTTAAAATTCTGACATCTTGACAACCCTAATAGCAACCCCAAAAATATACTGTATATATCTCTCTCCTTAATTAACATAAATCAACATTCAAAATGAACTGATGCGAATGAGAAAAAAAAACGTATTTATTATTACAAAGTCCTTATAATAAAAGTCTAAATGACTCTGCAGAACTACCTCACCCTCCTGGACGATGAAGATCACACACTGGAGAGCCTGAAGATCCACGATGAGCAGCAGCTGGTCATTGAAGGTGAGAAACACTTCCATGTTTATGTTTCTTCGCAGCCCCTGAGGGGACATCGGCTGAAAAACAAAAGTGTCATAAGTATCTGATGGGCACCTGCTACTTTCTGGTGCACAGGAGAAACTATCTCTTGTCACAATGTGCCTTTGTGAAGTGTGAAGGTATTGTCTGTGCAACAAGAGAGTTTCTGGTGCTCACAAGAAAATATTGCATGTGCATATTCTCGTACTCACAAAAAAACGTTCTAGTGAGCACATGATTCTTTCTTGTACGGACCAGAAACTTCTTTTATTCACCCATGTCCCTGTAGGAGCTCTGTATGTTTCATTTCCTTCCAGAAATGAAGGGACGGATATTTTGAACGATAATAGAGCTGAATCATATTTCTCTCTTCCTCCACAGTCAGGAACAAAGACATGAGCTGGCCTGAAGAAATGTCCTTCATTGCAAACAGTAGTAAGATGGACAGACACAAAGGTAAGCTGGGAGGTGATCAATGAGATCTTTGTTCACCGGAGACCTGATAATGTCCAAATGCTTGACTACAACCTGAAGAAGAAACTTTTAATGATAGGCTGAAAATACGGTTGTGTTCCTCATGCTTTTGCTAAACAAAATAATTTGACTGAAAGGTGTACAGTTAGTAAAACTCAGTTTGTATTTCTTTTGCCCTGGCAGCGCCCACAACCTTAGTTTCAGAGCGTTTCCCCCCCGAGGCTTACAGGTGATTAGGCTTGGTGTTAAGGTATATCAGGGTATTTAAAAATCTCGACGGTATGACTTTCTAACTTCTTGATGATTGTATTCAGAATATTTCTGCAATCACAAGACAGTACAAAATCTGTGGACATCATCTTGAGCTTTGAGTGACTGATGTGAACATATTTGATCATGTTCTGATATTTTACAGGCCAAACCACTCATTGATTAATAGAGAAAATAAATGTTTCAGCCTGTAAAAGATAGTAAGGTCAAAGGTAGGTTGTTTTGCTTAAAGTCTGATAAGTGCGTCTTTGTTTTTCGATCCCAGTCCCAACTGAAAAAGGAGCCACTGGCCTCAGTAACCTCGGCAACACGTGCTTCATGAACTCCAGTATTCAGTGTGTGAGCAACACCAAGCCCCTCACGGACTACTTCATCTCTGGGAGACACCTGTACGAGCTCAACAGGTGACGTTTGTACTGGTTTCACTGTGATATAAACCCTGCCAGCGTTTCTTTTTACCCTAACCCATGTTGTGACGCATTTACAGAACAAACCCCATTGGGATGCGGGGTCACATGGCCAAGTGTTACGGTGACCTGGCGATGGAGCTGTGGAGCGGGACGCAGAAGAATGTGGCTCCGCTGAAGCTCAGGGTGAGCAGGGTCCTTTAAGTTCCCCATGTGACAGCTTACCGGATACTGCCTATACAAAGGAAACTCTGAAGAGGAACTCGATTGGTGTTCTACCGCCTAGCGTCGTTGAAGCTGCTGCACACAAAGATAACATTAATACTTATTTGTTGAATCACAAAGAAATTTGTTGGAGTGGCAGGAAAGTCATAAAGAGTTAGCATGAATTGGTGGCATCTTTGTGAAAGACTTTCAATTCAAGCAAAAACAAGAACGCATCTCACATTTTTTTGGATTTTATAGGATGAGTCATCAACAGTTTTCCAGAAAATAACCCTAAAATGTCTTAAAGAATAGCTGCAAAACTACTTTTATTGTCATTGTCTTGCCAGCTACTAGCATACATGCTGCCAAAAAATGAAAGAGATATATATATATATATATATCGTAGTGACCTCTGTCTGTCTCGTCAGCCGAACAGCAGGCTTCACATAACCAAAGTCAAAGTTGAGTCCAGTTATGTGTGTGTGATGTTGTTGAAAGTGACCAGTCATAAGAGGGGCAGAGCCCGCCTTGGTCTCTGCACCCAAATTGTCAGAAGTCTTAGCTCAGCGTGTGCAGAACTCCACCTAGAGGAAGAAGAGCCTCCCCTCGAGCGAGGAAAGAGAGAGAGAGAGAGAGAGAGAGAGCGAGAGGAGAGCAGCTACAGTCCTGCAATCACAGAGCAGACAGTGACATTGTTTGCCCTCACCTGTGTTTCTTATTTCACCACAGCTGCCTGCAGAGCTGAATAGGGAAACGGTTTCAGGGTGAAGCAACAAAATCTCCATCCAGTGCACATCATCATGTGGGATACAGAGATCCATCATTACATAAATATTCAATAAATCTTTAACAGAATAAAATATAAAACTCAAAGTGAACTCCTCAGATCTCACACTCAAACATGGACACGGTCAAAAAAATATGTTTTTAATGCACACCTGATTCTAATCACCTTAAACATGTATTAAAACACATCTGCTGGATGTCCTGGTTATTTAAAGATGCTTGTTGGTGTTTTTTCTTTCTTTTTCTTTCTTCTAGCTGAATCACTTTGTTTGCTGCATGAACACTTTTACAAACTGCCTTTCAAAACCCTTCAAGATTATTATTGGAATAAACATTTTTTCTGCTTTTTCTGCAGTGGACGATAGCTAAGTACGCCCCGCGCTTTAACGGCTTCCAGCAGCAGGACTCTCAGGAGCTGCTGGCCTTCCTACTGGACGGTCTCCACGAAGACCTGAACCGGGTGCATGAGAAACCGTACGTGGAGCTGAAGGACAGCGACGGCAGGCCAGACTGGGAGGTCGCCTCTGAGGTCAGAGGTTACACTACTGATCCATTAAATTCAAACGGCTTTATTACTTCCCTTTAGGGGCATTTATTTCACATTAGATTGTAGGTCAAAAACATATATGAACAGATGCCAGCAAATTGCACATCAGAGAGATAACATCTGAAATAATACTGAAACAGACTTCTAAACCAATAATAGATTTTAAAATTTGAATGACTACTATGTGTCGCTCTGTGGAGTTATGGACTGCTTCAAAAGAAAAAAAAATTAGTGAAACATTTTTGTCCTGAGGAGAGGGATTTGCAGGATTAGTGGAGCGTGATCTCAGCTCTTCATGTGTGTGTTTGTTTGAATGCTCCTGCAGGCGTGGGAGAACCACCTGCGCAGGAACCGCTCCATCGTGGTGGATCTGTTCCACGGTCAGCTCAAGTCGCAGGTAAAGTGTAAGACCTGCGGACACATCAGCGCTCGCTTCGACCCTTTCAACTTCCTGTCCCTGCCGCTGCCCATGGACAGCTCCATGCACCTGGAGATCACAGGTGAGGAGGGGGGGGGGCTGTTGCATGGGCTTCGTATTTATTTGTTTATTTAACAGAGACAAATGCAATGAACATTGCTTCATATGTAAAATACAAAGTAGATGCCATGTATGCAGGTTTCTAGTCGTGGCTAATTTGCAACTTATATCCCTGTCTGCATAAAGTCTACTCTAAACCATACATCCAAACTAGTTAGTTTGTTAGTTAAGTTGTGTCAGTGTTTGTGTCAAAACGTTCAAACTAACCAAAATATTGCTTTAGAAATGACATTTTCACTTTGTGTGGTGTCAGTGAAAATCATTTTTCTTAATGAAGTGTTTGTTGCAGACAATCTTCTGCCTAATTGTCTCTGAACAGACCAACGGCTGAAAACAACTGATGTTAATTGCTGTTAAACTACAAACAGTGATGAAAATGAATGCAAAATATGACAAAGCATTATGATAAGGTGATAAATAAAGACTTGATCTTTGTGTAAAATAACAACAGTGACAGCATGCGATAATATAACTGCTGGTAAAGCTGAGGGTCACATTTCTGTCAGTGTCATGTTTAAAGTCTACTGGCAACGGGAAGGTACTCGGGGAAAACAAGTGCAAGAGTATATATCACACATTTCTGAAGGATGTAATCTATCCCACAGAACATGTTGCTGACTAAAAACAAAGCCAGTAAAACCCTCTGCACCTCCTCATCCTCCATGACAACCATGGTACTTTATACCTTACACCTACTAGGAGCTAGGGTTTAAGATTTAAGTTGTAACTTTTGCCTACATCAGAACTATCTCAAGTGTTAGTAGTGCTTACACTCCACTCCATCGTTTGAGCTAACACATTGCTGATGCAACCCATAGCAGAACCTAAATCATGTGAAATGTTTTGATGTGTTTGTAGTGATTAAACTGGACGGCTCCACACCTGTGCGATACGGCCTGAGGCTGAACATGGACGAGAAGTACACGGGGCTGAAGAAACAGCTGAGTGAACTGTGCAGTCTGAAGCCGGAGCAGATCCTCCTGGCTGAGGTCCACACCTCCAACATCAAGGTACTCATCCTTTTGTCATTTGTGAGTCGACTGTTCATGATAAAGCTTCAACTTGATCCTTTTCTTCCCTCTATCTTTAAAAACAGCCAAAAAGAATCTCATGTCATAACTGTTTGACCCAGGCCGGCTGATATCTGGACAGTAATCCCAGCTGTTTACTTTCTTTACAAATATATCAGATTTGAGAGATTAGCTCAAATTAGCTGCAGCTCTGCCAGCAGACCCTAAAGGCCGTTCAAGTAGCATCAGAAACATTTCCTCCTCTACTTTTTTTGTAACCTTTAGTCACCGGGTGTTTTGGAAAGAAAGAGTGTACGTGATTTGATTCTCTGAAAAAATCTGATGAACAGTAAAAAGCGGAGGAGTCCTCTCCTGAGAGCAGGCAGAGCATCAAGAAAAGTGCTTTCTGCAGTTCAGCTCACAGCTGCTCCATACGTCCTCTGAAAAGCATGGTCATCACCGTGTTTACCTTTTGTTGCATAACCCTGTGAACTGTGAATAACATGGTGACCTTGGTTGCATTGTTATTGTAAACAGAACTTTCCTTCTGTTCAAAAATCTTGTCACTCCCTGAAGCGACCAACACCCCAAGAATAAGAAGATTGGAGGAAGATTTGGATCTTGCAATAAGTCTCTTGGTATTCTTAGGGATAGAAGACATAGCTTGTTGTGGCTTGTTCTTTTGCTGGGATTTGGCCATTTTATTGCCATGACTCACCTCCACACGTGCCGTTGTTCCACCCAAAAAACAAGCTCCCTCCTGACACTATTGTTTTAGGGCACCGTTGCGGCGGTCAGTGTTTGCTGGCTCAGAGAGGAGCCAGCTGGATTAGTGTAAATATCACTAATCTTATTGCTGTTGCTCGGCGAAAGAAGCATATCCTCTCTATTTTTAGTTCAGTGCATTTCTTTACTCAGCAGGAAAGTGAGCACATTCTTTGATAAGTCACTGCACCTGAGCAGGACGTTTTGCTTAGTTTTTGTTTGTTGCAGATGTGTTTAATTTCAGTGTTTCTCTGGTGCCTTCAAGGAAACATAGGAAAAAGCAGCATCCTAAAAACTTTGTGTTAGGCAGAGTCTGTCACTGTTTCTAGAATCAAACAAATTAAAGTCGATGTTAGAAAGGGAACATGTTTGCATATCGATGGTCTTTATTGTCACGCTAAATTTCTCAGTATTTTCCCTCCTTGTTTTTCTTATTTTAGTGTCCAGAAGGCATAACTTGTGTGATTTCTGCATGATCTCTTTGATCTATTTCTGTCCTGCTGCTAGACGCTGATATCTGTTATTTTTTTATCTTCAGAACTTCCCTCAGGACAACCAGAAGGTGCGTCTGTCTGTCAACGGCTTCCTGTGTGCATTTGAGATCCCCGTGCCGGGTTCGCCGACGTCTCTGAGCTCACCTACCCTGACAGGTGAGTTTGTTTTTCCCACCTCTCTATCTGCATGGATCTGACTGAATATACAAACATCTTCTTTTTTTTTTCCTCAATCCTCCCTCCTCCCATTCATCAGAAATCACCCCAATCGCTAACGGTTCAGCTGCTAACGGGATCCCGGGAAACAAACCTGTCCTCATCCCCAACGGAGGGCCCAACACGATGGTCCCCTGCAGCCCGGAGATGCCGTTTGCCAACGGGATCGCCAACGGACACATCACACCGGTGCAGGAGAGCCCCTTCATTGGATACATCATCGCCATGCACAGAAGATGGTGAGAGGGCAAAAGTGTGGGGCGCTGGTGGCCTAGTGGTTAGTTTGGCGCTGCATGTTCAGATACTGTAGCTGTAGTGAAACAAACAATACATACTCTGGGGAAGGACATTTTCTAATGCATAGACGATCTATAAATGCATTTATCCCGTTACCAGCAAGATCTCGCTTTTTCCCGAATAAGCAGAAAAGGAAAACAACCAAAGAGGGGGGCGCCTGTAGCCTTGTGACTAGCGAGCACCATGTATTCAGGCTAAAGTCTGCAAGCAGATGGCCCGGGTTCAAATCCGACCTGTGTCTCCTTTCCCACTCTCACTCCCTGATTTCTGACTCTATCCACCGTCCTCTCTCTAAATAAAGTCTTAAAAGGTCCAAAAATAAACCTTTAAAATGTAAAACCAAAATAAAGGATAAAAAAGCACACGCGTTAATCTCACCTCTATTTTATTTAATCATGTATTTTGGTGCTATCCATGTTGCTACAAAAACAGTATTTCTTTTTTTCCATATTGATTTCGTCCCTGCCGTCTTTCTAACTGTTTGTGTGTCCTCTGTAGATGCGCACGGAGCTCTACTTTTTGTCGTCTCAGAAGAACCGGCCCAGTCTGTTCGGCATGCCGCTCATCGTCCCCTGCACGGTCCACACCAATAAGAAGGATCTTTACGACGCCGTCTGGATCCAAGTGTCCCGCCTGGCGAGCCCGCTGCCCCCACAGGAAGCCAGCAACCACGCCCAGGACTGGTAGGCTGCCAGTTGATTTTGACAGGGCAAAGCCGGGTCATGCTGTAACGTAATGAAGTAAAGATCATTAGGATTGGCCTCAGCTGATCCGGACTACCATGCTGAGGGCTGACCTCTATCAGCAATCTTAAGCCGGATACATTAACGCTTCTTTGTTTAGTTATATTTACACAAAACTCCCAAAGTGCCCCAATCCAGCAACAACACTCTGAAACTGTTGATAACACACAGAGTCTGTTGACTGTTCAGTGACAACAACTAACTGCAGTTTGACTTATGACCTCGTGTATGATGATTGTTGACTCTGTTTTTCCCTGTTTGACCCTGCAGTGATGACAGTATGGGCTACCAGTACCCCTTCACCTTGCGGGTCGTTGGTAAAGACGGTAACTCGTGTGCCTGGTGTCCCTGGTACAGGTAAGATTATTTCCTCACATGTCACTAAGTACAGAGGAATGTGTCTGTTTGTAATGAGACATTAACCCGTTTTTCATACAAAGAGATACCACAGCGTGCTGTAAAGAAGCTCCGCCATCATGCCCCCTTTTCCTTTTCACTGAAAACAACAACACACACTTTTTGTTGCTTTACACAACATGTCCTGTCTAACAATCTGTGCAAAACGGGTTATTGCCTGGACTGCATTTTCCCAAGTGCATGGATAATCCTCAGAAAAAATGTCAAAACATATTAAATGCATAGAGAAATCATGATAATTGTAACAGTTCTGTTTTTTTCACTGATAGGTTGTGATTGTATGTGATTTTAAAAAAAAAAAAAAAAAAAAAAAATTTGTGGGGTCTGTACTCTGTGTTTGTGTTTGTGCTGCAGCCGTACCTGACCTACTTGTGTGTGTGTGTGTGTGTGCAGGTTCTGTCGGGGTTGCACCATCGAGTGTTGTGATGACAGAGCGTCTGTAGGAAACGCTTACATCGCTGTGGACTGGGACCCCACCGCCCTGCACCTCCGCTACCAGACCTCCCAGGAGAGGGTAAGCACTCACACATAAACACAAACATGCTGTTACGCTCCTCAAAGTCCTCTGAACGTTTTAAAAAGAATAGAATTCTTTACCTGTCTAAGGTCACTAATTATTTTACTATTTGAATTGTGCTTTATTCTACTTCTTGCACCCATTGACAAAACCAAACATAGAGCCTTTTCATAATGCAGCCAAATTTTTCACTTCGAATTTACCCAGAATTTTACTGTGCCGGACTCCATTGCATCATCCGCCATCTTGGATATATTCTGATTAGTACTGTCAACACGTTAAACGCTATTTATGAAGGGCCCAAATTTATATTGCATTAATTGCTATTCTGTACATATAGACACACTATAGGTAAGCCTTGTAAGCAATGTTGTACAACATTGGGGCGCGCTGGTGGCGCAGTGGTTAGGGCGTGCGTCCCATGTGTTGAGACTCTCGTCTCGAGCGGTAGGCCCAGGTTCGCTTCCAACCGTGGCCCCTTTCCACATGTCATTCCCCACTCTCTCTCCCTGGTTTCCGACTCTATCCACTGTCCTCTCTCTGAATTAAAGGCACGAAAAGCCCAAAAATAAATCTTTAAAAAAAAAAAAAAATGTTGTACAATGTTAGGGAACACACTTTTTTTTTTTTAATGAAAGACACCTACATTGTGGGTCATGTGCTGGACTGGTAGCCCGGGTTTTGGTCCGACCTGTGGCTCCTTTCCTGCATGTCATTCCCCACTCTCTCTCTCTGGTTTCTATGTCTATCCACTCTCCTATCAGATAAAGGCAAAAAGCCCCAAAATAAAAATCTTAAAAAGAAAAGGTTCTGTGATATTCCACATCTTCAAGTGGATTCCATTTTTATCATCAAATTATGTAAATCTCTTTGTGTTTCTCATCACAGAAGTCAGAAGTCTTTGGTAAAGAACACTGTCAGTAAGACAAAAAAACTAACCTCATGGTCTCCATCTGTGCCTCCCTGCAGATCGTAGAAGAGCACTGCAGTGTGGAGCAGTCCCGCCGCACCCAGGCCGAGCCCATCAGCCTGGACAGTTGTCTGAAGGCCTTCACCAGCGAGGAGGAGCTGGGCGAAGACGAGCTCTATTACTGCTCCAAGTGCAAGACACACCGACTCGCCACCAAGAAGCTGGACCTCTGGAGGCTGCCCCCCATCCTGGTGAGTCCTGAAACAAAGATCAGTGGTCTTAGACAAAAGTTTGTCAAAGATCTACATGAGGTTGTGAGTATTTACCGTGTGTGTGTTCTCGTCTGCAGATCGTCCACCTGAAGCGCTTCCAGTTTGTGAACGGCCGCTGGATCAAGTCCCAGAAGATCGTAAAGTTCCCGCGGGAGAACTTTGATCCCAGTGCCTTCCTGGCCCCGAGAGACCTGGAGCAGCGCTGCCTGCACTCTCGCAGCGAGAGCGAGGACCTGCTGAGGGTCGGAGAGGACAACCTGTCCTCCATCTCTGCCCCTGCTGGCTTCTACAATCTCAACAAAGGTAAAACACGTTGCCTTCTAATGCAAACCATGAGCTGCGTCACAGAACGTCTATGAATGTAGGGTGAACGAGATGCATGCGCTTTCTTTTTTCTTTTGATTTAACAGCATTTTTTACGGAACAAAATGGATTAATAAGCAGTTAAATTAAAATTTAAAAAGTTCTAACATACAACTGATAGTTAATTAGCATAATCTCACCACTACAGCCTGCTGTTTGAGACACATGCAAATGGTTTGCGCCTAAAATAAATTTATTTGGGAATAAACTTCCCCAACTTCCCTGAATCGCATCAAAAATAACTTTTATGCAGAACATGACCAGACTGTCTGCAGCTTTATTTTCTTTCTATGTGTAATGATAAGAGCCTGACAGCATGTCAACTGAACAGACTTGAGAGTGAAATGTGCAGAGCAGTGTCAGGCCTAGCTGCACAGGAAGTAAGTAAACAACTCTGTGGTTTCCCCACAGCATCTCCTGCCTCGAGCAGGAAGTCGGCACCTTCTCTCAGCCGGACCAGCAGCCCCTCCTGCAGCCCGAAGACCAGCTCCGGAGGCCGCAGACCAGGCCGGCTACGCCTGCCCCAGCTCGGCAGCCGACACCGCCTCTCCAACAGCAAGGAGAGCCTGGACGGAGCCGCTAACGCCGAGGGGGACACACGAGACAGCGTGTCACAGGCGGACACAGAGGGCAGCGCAGCGGGGACGGCGGCGATGGGAGACGGCATCACGTTAGAATCGCTGAGCAGCACCGAGGCGTCCAGCAGCCACTGTGATGTGGTTCTGGTGAACGGGGACAGCAACGGGCTGAGCTCGGACTGCAGCACAGAGAGCAGCGTGGACCCTGACAGCTCACTGCTGCAGCACAGAGACAACATTTGCCTGGACGCCATCTACAACCTCTATGCAATATCAGTAAGAACACACACGCGTTAAAGTCTCTGATATTTAGTCCACACTTTTCTTTCCTCTTGTTTCTAAATCCTCTTTGTCTCATCAGTGCCATTCAGGAATCATGGGAGGAGGCCACTATGTGACATATGCCAAAAACCCCAACGAGAAATGGTACTGTTACAACGACAGCAGCTGTAAGGTAAGACACTAGAACCAATCGTATTCTTCTATCACCTTGCTTTGATTGTTGGTCAACCGCTACTAGACATTTCAGAAAGCTGTTAAGTTTTGTGCACAATATTTTTGTCCTGAAATTGGATCCCATTGGGTTACAGTCTGACAATGACACAGCTTTTGGTAGCTTCAGACAACTTTAACGGAGTTATGATGCAGCCGGTGGAAGGTCTCCCAGACATGGCTTCCTTTTCTTTGTCCCATTGTTTACACTATGTCATAATAAAGCAGTTTAGTATTTGTTCCACCTCTTTTACTCCACCACATGGACTTGTTTTTTTTTCTCCTGAAACATTGGTGGATGACTCTACTTGGACTACAAATGAACACCAGAACGCTGATTCCAAAATTGCCTGTGTGCCTTTAGATTCTGCATTTTTATGCAACATCCGTCTCTCAGTGCTAGACCAATGATCAGATCTCTAACACTAGGTTAATATAACTCAAACAAATCAGTAACGCCTAATTAGTTTTTTCACTTTTAAAAAACGAGCCATCGAATTCAGAGAGAATTTTTAAGTATTTTTGGTCCATCACATCACCTCTGTGTTTTCTTTTTCCTCCAGGAGGTTCACTCTGAGGAGATCGACACCGACTCGGCCTACATCCTCTTCTATGAGCAGCAGGGCGTCGAGTACTCCCAGTTCCTGCCAAAGATCGACGGCAAGAAGATGGCCGACACCAGTAGCATGGACGAAGACTTTGAGTCGGACTACAAGAAGTACTGCGTCCTCCAGTGATCGTCTTCCATCGCGCAGACACACACACACACACACACACACACACACACAGACACACACAGACACACACACACACACACACACCCCGCGCCGCTGTGAGCAGGAACGTTCAGACCATTCAGATCACAAACTGCTAACAAGAGTCAGACTGAGCTCTTTGTGTTTAGGACGTGTTGCAGCACTTTCTACACTTGATCAAAAACATGGATTAGTGCAAACATTTGCCAAGGCCACAATAAAGCCGTGGTGAAAGCACTCAACTGGTGCACTTTGCTGAGCCCGACAAAACAAACCCCCACCCCTCCCCCCTCCTCCTCGTCCCCCTCCTCCTCCTCGCCATAACATTTATGTAACATTTATCCGCTTATTAACGCATCTCTGAATGTATGCCAGTGTGGCCAATTCATTAAGTCTTCTTCTGCATCATCACCTGTGATGTGAGGATAAAAAGCAACACCTTCACCTGCAGTTATGGCGTGACCAGTGTCTGGATATCTCACCTGAAGAAGAAGAAGAAGAAGAGGAAGGGCACAGAAAGGATTCCAGGTGTAAATTTCAGGCCAATGATTGGATACGGTTTTAAACAGTCAAATTTGATGCCATGATGATTACATTTGGTATCACATCTTTTGGATACTTTGTCGACGTTTTAGAGAATGCTTCTCCAAAGGTTTTTATTAGGGGGTAGTGTCACATAATTCATACTACCTCATCGCTTCATGCAGTGTCGGCCAACTTCTCCCTAAACATCCGTGACAGTATTATCAATCACTGAAATGTTTCCTCCTCTGTAGGAGCCAGGAGGCACACGTTTCATGTCACTTCCCTCTCACATGCCCTGATGTGAAAACGAGGAGTGTGTTTGATCCCACAGCTGCCAAATATCAGTGCTACTTAGTGAGATTTTTTTAGCCTACATTACCCATAATTCCCCTGTAAACTCAGAACACTGTAGTGTCACTCTGGGTTTGTCGAGGACAGTTGCCATGATTTTCCAAAGTGAGACGTTAAGAGAACATTATACAGTATATGTTTTTTGTTTTTGCATCCTACATTTTTTTTATGAATGATTAATTTTATTGAATTTCACGTTTCAGTTCTTTTTTAAGACGTTAGCAGCCTCTTCAGGTAGAGGAACAGACATTTATCGCAAAGCTACACGGGGGGGGGGGGGTCGAGCTTACTTTCACAGCATCCAGCTTTCACCTGCTGCAACTCTCAACCGTCAGGCCACACCCACACGAAGATGTTTTCATTTTAGAACGCATAAACTACAAAAGCAAGTAATTCAACATCAATAACTTATTTTAGACCCTGATTCCCTTGGTGTCTAACAGCTGCTGTGACGCAGCTAAACGTTTTATATTTTCATGCTCCTCAGGACGCGTGTTATTACTCCCATTGAATCCTGTGTGCATCACCAGCCCTACTTTCAGCACTTTTGTGTGTGTGTCTATTTACACCTGCACATGCACGCCCAGTATACATAATTTTAAGGGTTATGACAATACCACATTTTTAAACCTCATTAAGACTTCTGTAAAAATCAAACATGTCAATATGTTTGGATATCACTGCAACAAAAATAGAAGTCCTATTCACCTCGTATTGAGTCATCTCTTATTTTTAAGAGATTTTTTTTTTTTTTTTTACCAAAAAAACATTGCAGGCACACTTCTCCACGCTGTCTTGATTCAGACGGTTCTCTCTCTTGTTTCTCTCACGGCAGCTTTTGGTTAAAAGTATGACTGAAGATCTGTAGTTTACTCAGAACTTTGATTTTTTACGATACTATAAATCTGCACAATGACACAAACTGTATGGTTTTCAAACATGTGGTATTGAAAAATTATATGAATTGTAGGTGATTTGCGTTTTCAGGGCGTGTTAATGTAGACAGAGATTAGTCTTAACACTGTGTTGAGAAAACTTGTGTTGATAAAGATTTGTTTCTTTAAAAAAACATTTTCAAATGGAAACATCGTCGTGTGGATTAAGCCGGAAAGTCAGCTAGAAAACCAGAATTTTCAGGAGGTTTGAAGTCTGTCTTCAAAGGCTGCTCATGAAACATCTTTCTATAAATTCTGAGCTCTTAATGCCACTCTTCTTAAAAACACATCCCCAGTAACATTTGAATTAAACATATTAAACTCTTGGTCCTACTCTCCAATAGTCCCCGAAGCTCATAGATAAATCGTAACTCGTTTAGTCATGTGCACCATTAAAGCCTTCATTTACAACAAACCATAAAGTCCTGTGCTGTTAGGTGCTCTGTGTCAAAATCTAGTTTTAGTGTGTAACGTATCAAACTTGATATCACTCTGACTGTATGTGGTGCATATTCCTAAATAAATACATGTTTTATTCATTTATCATAAAATGCACTCATTTTAAAAAAAGACACCCGCTAGGGCAAGGACACTGCAAAATCTCAACTCTTAGAAAGTGTATTAGTATCATTTCTATTCAAGAATATCTCATGACATTTCATTCAAACAACATTCATCTGACAACTCCAGATAAGCATCTAATTTCAAGATTTAAAAAGCAAAACATGAGGTCTGAATTGCTTGTTATGGGTACAATTTCCTTCCAATGCAGTGATTTAAAAAAAGAGATGTAACGTATTATCTCAAGAGACTTCACAAGCATTTTTCTTGCTTCACTGTTTTAACTCATTACAAGAAATTCAGACCTCATTTTTTGCTTTTTATATCTTGAAATAAAAAGATTATCTGGACCTGTCAGGTGAATGTGGGTATTTTTATCCTCTTGCTAAGAGTGGAGTTTGTGCAGTGAAGGGTTTGTAAATCTGTTTGTAAATGGAGATACTGAAAAACTGTATCAGCTCCTTCATGCCTGCTTTATACAGTGTCTTGTTGAGAGCTGCAGCAGGATGAGTCTGCTCTGTAAAAGCTTCACTACATAACTGGACCCCTAACATTTCATTTGTTTACCGTTTGCTGCATCTAAATATCATCGGCCAGATATCTTCTAACTCCCGCTCCTCCTTTCATGGTTTCTTGATGTGACTTTTCAGAGATGAACAAACCTGTATGGTTTTTTTTTTGCTGTGTGGTGTCCGGTCTGGTGTGTAGCAGCATGCGTAGGGCTCGGTCTAATCACTGTGAACAGAAAAAGCAGCTCCCCGAAAATTCCCCCACTTCTCGATCACAGGAGACGATTCTGTGTGCTCGCCCCCTTTTTTTCTTTTAGCTGCTGTATTTATGACGAGAAGGCGCCAGTGTGGATGCATTTGGAGAGATATTTGTGAACTGAATGAAACTTTATTTTCCTTAGCATTTGTTGAACAAATGGAAATGTACAGATGAGTGCTATTTATGTTTGTTTCGCTCCGCTCTCTTCTTTTTTTCCCCCTCCACCCCTCCTGCCTTTGTCCGTGTTTCAAACGTCATGAATTCACTCAAAGGGAAAGTGTGTCTCTTGAGAACCCAGTTTGTAATGTTTGCTTCATTTTAAAGGTGCAATAGCTGTCAAATTGTCATGTTTTTGGCTATGAATGATTACTCGAACGGCTAACTGTTTGATGCTAAGCTAACCACACCTGTAGCTTGGACTGAATTAGCAAACACACATTTATAGTTGGAGTAAATTTCAGCACAATTTCAAAAAGACTGAGCTTGGACGCTGAGATTGGACTGATTATATGAACCACACAGATGTATATTAAGCCCCTCCCCCTCCCCTGAAGCCCCGCCTACTTGTCCCCCACCCTACCAGAAGAGTAGTTCGGCGTGTCGGCAGGCAGTGCAATCTACTACTGAGCTGTCTGTAAGTGTCTGTAGCCACTTTTTATTTAAGTTCATTTCTGTCCGATCTGAACCAGAGTTGTTAATTTAAATAACTTTTTTTGTAACGTGTTTGTTGAAAGAAAGTGACATCGCACTGACATGAAAAACATGTACATAAAAAAAAAAAGTGTTTTGTAAATAATCCGATGAAAACGATGTATTTGAATATGAACTGTACAAAATACTGTACTTGTAGTTGTATATGGAGTGATACCGTTGATCTGTAACAAAATATTCAAGCAACAAATTAAATTCTGCAGAGGAAACGACGACGCCAGACTGACGCCTGTTTTTATTGGAATCCTGAGAGAAACAACATTTTCTCCACAAACCTTTATTCTTTTTAATGGTGTGACTGTGGTGTTTTACATAAGTTTGAATCAAACACAATCTTTGGAAAAATGTAATAACTCAAAATAACAAATGAAGGCAGCAGTAGATCAGCAACCCACATCCAGTGGATGATAAAGTAAACACCTTGATTACTTTTCTTGATTTTATTTGTTTATTTAACAAGGATATCATATGTAAAATACAAAGTAGCTTCCTTGCATACAGGTTTCTAGGCTAATTTGCAACCCCTGTTCCTGTAGAGGCTTTTAGCAGCAGTAGACTTAAAGAAATACAGAAATAGTGATACTATACAAATACAGACATTATAGGGCCCGACCGATATGGAGGTGTTAGGGTCAATATCGATACCGATATTCTGATGCTGATATATATTGGCCAATACCTTTTTTAGATCTGTCTTTGACCTTTAGAGATTGATTGATGGAGATAAACACACACATTCTGTTATTATACACTTGTGAAAAAGATTTATAATTAAGATTTTTTTTTAAGGTGAACAAAAGCCTTTATTGGCCAGAATAACAACAGTGCCCTGAAACACAATTTTTGAACTTAGAAATTAACAATTCTAAATTAAAGCTAAATACAAATAAATCATTATATTACATCTAATAAACCTAGTTATATCAGCACATATCAGAGATAAAATTAGCCAATATCTCGGCCAATATTATCGGCTGGCCGAGTAATAGGTCGGGCTCATATTACAGGCTCAGATTTTAATTCTAAGTGTTTGACAACATCCCAGAGAGAACCCTGACAGAGAGAGCTTTTGCAAAGGAGAAGAGCTGTAACAGTTGTGTCTTTAAAGGCCTCAGACTCCATTTACAAAAACAGTTATTTGACAATGGGAGTTTTTGCAGCCTACTGGTAACTTCAACCTTTTTTGTTACAGTGGAAGATGCATTAATTGAGTATGTAAACAGCTGTTACCTCGCTCTCTTCAAAGCCACCAGACTGATGCTGGGTAATTTTACCTCACAGAATATTGGGCGGAGTTGTTGGTCTAACCTTTTTTTACACTACACTCTACCCTCTTATGGCTGCCAATTTATTTTTAAAGTGAATGTTAACTAGTTCTGAACTATTCCCCCCTTGTCCACTCTCATGCTGTTTTAATAGATTGAAATCTATTATTTTAGGGATTTTCATCGTTAAATCTCCCTGTATTCAATTGTAAACCTGTGTCTTTTGTTTGTTTTTACTCTGTACTGCACTCTGTGTTTAACATGTGGGGGGAAACAGAAATAGCTTCCTTGCATCACTGCCATTACGTTTGTTTTACCAAATTAAGGCGATTTGAACTCAAACAGCACTTTCTCAAAGTCCCTCAAATCAAACGTATATAAGGCCTACGACCCTCCTGCTGAGCATCAGGTATAGCGTGACAAAAAGAGTGTTTGCAGCTCAAACCACCTGCTGCTTCTGTTCATTTCCTCTGCGAATGTTGTGGTCGACACACTGACACAAAACAGACGGGCTGCAGGCTCCCACCACACGCTTCTTTGAGAGGTAACACAGCCTTTTCGAAGTAGCTCCATGTTTATTCTGTGAATACGTGCAAACTGGAGCCAGAGAGCGGGCTATAGTTCTGATCAGCATCTGTGAAAGATGAGTTTCCTTTAAGTGGAGTTCCTCACATTAAATGTGAGTTTGTGAGCTTTTTGTGTGTCCTCTCTTTGTTAGGTGTTTTAGTTTTGTCAGAATGTAACCACTGTAGCTCTGAACTTAAAACTTTGAGATATTCTTTATCTGAGTTGTCTTCCTTTTCTTCAAAAGCATGATGTTTTGTTCTGATGTTATTTTCAGGATCTGTTCAGGATTCAGTGATGCTCTTTGACCAGAACCAGCCTTGTTGAGCAGGAGACAACATGCCCGTTAACTCCACTGTTGGACATTCCTGTTCAGGTGAGATCTACATCCCCCTTTGTTCTCTGAAACACTGCACTGCAAAAAAAATATATATATATAAGCAAGTGTGTTTGTCTAACATCTTGTTAAAAATAACCATTGACGTTTAACATCAGCCACATTCACCTGAAAAGTCCACATAAACATGTAATAAGTCAAATATATCTGCCAACGGGGCAGTAACAGATAACTGAGATGTGCTACCTGAATTAGTGAGTACATCTCATTTCAAGACACTCAACAATATCAATACTCACTTTCTTTCCCGATGGCAGATTTAAAAAAAAAAAAAACGCATTACAAGCAATGCAGGCCTTATATTTTTTGTAATTTTTATATTTAAAATAAGATTTCTCTCCTCACTTTACCTGTTAGTGAAGTGTAAGGAGATCTTTTTGACTAGAAATGGGACTTGCTTAGATGTGAGTTTTTGCAGTGTGTGAGATGTTGATGAAGCTGACTATGATTGTCGTGTCTCTCAGGTTGGCCTCTCTACAGTCTGATAGGAGCCGTCTCCTTCCCCATCGTGGTGTTTACGCTGCTCGCTGCCATTTATCTCAGAAAGTAAGAGAGGCTGGAATCATTTCACAAAGATTTACTTTCAACATCTGTTGCCATTGTCATCCTGTTTTGAGCTGCACTTAAAGTTGGATGAAAAAGAAATCAAGATTTAAGGCTTAAGTGAGCTTTAGTTTTTTACAGTAATTGACTGTTTTTTTTATTTTATATTTTATGTATGGCAACATTAACAACATTAATGATGATAAAGGGAAAACATTTGAATTAGAGTTTCATTTGTATTATTATTTTAGCTTCACTTAAACTTTTTGATTTTAAGATTAAAGACTTAAGTTAATATATCATAAAATCTCTCTCTGCATCATGTAATAACAAAGATGGAGGTGTTTCCATCAGAGTTTCCTGCTGCAGGCTGGCACAACATGGCCTGGCACCAGATGACCTTTCAGAGCTGCTTAGTTTCTGAATCCTCTCGTTCTTCTCTTTCGTTGCTCCACAGAAAAGAACTGAAACATTTGTTGACGCGTTCAGCTGTTTCGCTCTGAGACTTTAGAACAGATTTAAAGAGAAGCTGAGATTTTAAATCTAATCTAAAAATGAATTTATTTAATCTGCTTATAACAGTATGTTTTTTATTACTAAGCTAATTATTACTATTATTATCATTATTCTCTTAAATGAACATTTCAGTGTTTGAATTACGTTTTTTTAGAAGTTGTGTTTATTTCTTATCGTCATGATTATCTTATCGTTCTAACTTTATTAACACATTATCAGATTAGAGTTTATATTCTAAAACATATTTTTACTTCATTAAAACGTAATATTTTTGTATTTTACTAACATTAAAAATATTTCTCTCTTTCTTGTTATTGGTCATCATCCATCTTTTTTTTAATTGTTATTTTATTAAATTCCTATGGGTGTTGTTTAGACTCTAAATCATTTTGTAAAGCGCTTTGAACTGCATTTGAATCTGTCTGAAATGTGCTGTATGAATTAAGTTTGATCGATTGGTTGGTCATCTTAAAGTATTTTTTCCTGCAGATATCGTTCTTTGTTAAAGAGGTATGAAGACTTGAAGGGGAGCAGATATTCGCTGGGTGTCGGTCCTCGGCCGGAAGCTCCCAGCAGCACACCTCTGAGGCCGGTCCCAGCAGCGATGGAGGAAGAGAGAGAGGGCGAAGAAGAGGAGGGTCCTCGAATCCCCCTGCAGCAGAGCAGCAAAATCCGTCTGTCCTCCAGGAGGCTGTGGAAAGGCCTGCAGCAGGTAACACTGACAGAAACATCTCCATCTTTGTTTTACATGATATGGAGAGAGATTTGAATGCAGCATTTTTCTCGAGCATTTGTTTTCTGGGTTTGTATGTTTCTCACTATTCTTCATTCATGTTTCTCTAAATTAGCCGTGAGCTGCACATCTTTCACAGGCAGCACATTTTAGGTGTATGTGTTTTTGGTTTTGCATCATTTCTTTAGCTGCTGCCCAGTTCTCCCAATGGAAAACTTTTAATGGCCTTTTTAGCATGCTGTCCCTGGTCACCATTCTGATCTAACGCATTGTTCTTTTGCTCTGCCTTGTTGCTACTTAGAGTCCTCATTTCACCAAGTCAGACCTGAACCTGCTGCAGCTGATCAAAGCGGGGAAGGAGGGCGTCTTCTACCAGGCCAGGATGAACAAAGGGACGTGTAAAGGCCACAACCTGTTCACCTGCAAGATCAGCAAAGAAGGTACATATTTCTACTGGAAAAAAAAAGTAGTAGTTCCAACATCAAAGTTATGACCCAGAAAAAATAGAGACAGATATCTTGAAACCTGCAGATGAACAAATCAAACTGCATCGCTGTAGCCAACAGTGGACACAGTGTAGGAGTCTGTTTGCAACTTTTGCAAATTCAAAGGAAGTAATTAGGACTTGTTGTTGTCATGGTATTAAGATGATACATGGTACTTACTAAGTAAGTAAGGTAACTTTATTTGTACCCATAGTTTTTATTTGGTTTACAGTGAGAGAGTCGGGCTCCTTTTACAAACAAATGACAAGACAGGACAAAACATGATGAAGTGACAACAGTGCTCAATACTGAAGACAATAGCCCTTAGTAAAAATAAGATAAATAAATCCATCAGTGAGAACAAGATGAAAAATAAGACTATACCATCAATCAAGTAAAGTAAAAGTAAGATAAGAATAAGAGTATACCATCAGTCAGTAAGACTTGGTAATAGAAACAAGACAGAAATGAGTCTTCAGTAAAAACCAGACAAAGGAAAGATGAGATCAAATGTCCGGAGATCAATAAATAATCAATCATTCGCACTATAATTGCTCCTAAAACATTGCTGCTGTATTGTATCGTGTTCATTTAAGATTTCATACAGTATCTAATAGTAATGTTACGAATTACAGTGTAATGACAATCTACTTCAGATTTCAATGATTTAATCAAACACACAGCTGAGGATTTTTTTGTCTTATTTTGTGATTAGGAGTCCGTCCCAAACATGTGGAGATGGAGATTTCCATCATGAGGAAACTGGTGCAGCACAAGAACATCCTGCAGCTGCTGGACTGGAACACCTCTGAGGGTGGGAGAGTTTGAACACAGACTTTTATCTGCTCCTTCGGTCGAATAGAAATAGATAAAAGGGTAAATGAGTTCTCAATCCTCTCTGTGTTTGTGCAGAGCCTAGCATTCTAATCATGGAGTACGTGAGCTACGGCACCCTGAGGACCTTCCTGCAGACCAACAGAGTCCGCCTGAGTGCAGACCTGGAGCTGCAGAGCCTGCTCACAATCGCCTCCTACCACATCGCTCTGGCCCTGCAGCACCTGCGCTCCAAAATGGTAACAGAGTATTGTGAAGCACTTGGCTGAAGATTCAAATATATAAAGCACCTACTAAACAAACACTACTGTTGTGGTGGTTCTCTGCAGATTATTCACGGTGACCTGGCTCTGAGGAACATCATGGTCAACAAGTTTCCCTGGGAGGTCAAAGTGGGCGAGTTCGGTCTGGCCCGAGACTTAACGAGTATGACGAGCCGCCGCAGCAGCCGCTGGAGAAACCCTCGAGTAAGACGCTCATCTATCGTCCATTCTCCTGTTGTACAACCCTTGATAATCTTAGGCCTTTAGTTTTCCCACAAGGTCACAGCATTGTCAAAAAAACCTTACTACTTAGCAAGATTAGATCACATAACTGGCCTTCACTGACCTCATGCTAAAATTCTAATTTAAAGCAAATTTGCACATTTGGTGGATCAACATAAATCTCAGCCTGCCATTTAAGAATGTTAGTACATGTTGGCCAGTGGTGTAGTCGAGTCTTGAGTTTCCACTCCTCACTCTACTTTAATTACTAACATTTAAAACATGTTAAATATGTCAACCCCCTGTATCAGGGTGCAAGTGTGTTTGTCACAGTCAGGGGTTTTGCCTTCCCCCTCATTGAAATTTGGTATCCCAGTCCATGTGCCACCTTAAAACCCTTGAGGCTATTTTCCTTGCCAAAGGCGGGACCGAAGACTGTATAAAACATGGACATAGTCTCAGTGAAGTCACCAATTGGTTTCTGAAGAGGTGTAATGAAGCCCAAAAACGGTGTTCACCATATCGGAAATGCTGTCTCAAACTACCTTTTCTATCAATCTTAAAACAGGCAAAAAGGTGGCGTTAAGCCTCCTGGCAAACAGCTACTACATGCCCACCTGTCGGTCAACTCTCAGCCTTTATATAATCAAAGTGGATGACTTATAAAAGCATTCAACACCTGTACAGTGTGTGCTATTCAGGAAGCTATTCAGACCAAATAGGTTTTTAGTATCAGGCTGTGTGTGTGTGTGTGTGTGTGTGTGTGTGTGTGTGTGTGTGTGTGTGTGTGTGTGTGTGTGTGTGTGTGTGTGTGTGTGTGTGTGTGTGTGTGTGTGTGTGTGTGTGTGTGTGTGTGTTTGTGTGTGTGTGTGTGTGTGTGTGTGTGTGTGCGTGTAGGCTGACATCCTCTGCAACAGGAAACAACAGTTTCAGAGACATGTGGCCTTGGTTCATAGAAGACTAGGAATAAGGATGTCATTGACGAGACACTGATGGTACTCATTATTTCCAACATGAGCCCATCCTCATATATAACAGTTATCAATGTCTCCAAACATTTTCATGAATCTTTAGACTGAACGTCATTTTCCTGGTATAAAAGCCCCTGTTTTTTAATGAAACGTCCTCTCCTATGTTGGTGTTAAGATCTAGACACGGTGCCTCACTTCGACAAACTGTTCAGCACGCACTTTTAGAGCGTGTTTGATTTGACCAATTGTTTCCTTATTTTTTGCTTTGTTTTTAGGTTTTTACATTTTGTTTGATTGTTCCTCTCCGTTGTGGGTTACATATCTGAGTAATAAACCACTTTTTTTTGTTTTGTCCTTAACTCCACCAGCAGCGAGTGCCGCTGCGCTGGTACCCTCCTGAGTACTTCAGGAACAACTACTACAGCTTCAAGGGAGACGTGTGGGCGTTTGGCATCATGCTGTGGGAGATGCAGACATTTGGTGGGTTGATGTCTCGTGTCATTTCGATTCTTCGGCCTGTTTGAAACCTCTTTTTAAATATGAATACTAGAGCTGGGTATTGTCCACAACCTCACAATTCAATTTGATTTCAATTCTTTGGGTCACGATTCAATTTGATATTGATCAGTATGCCTAGATATTGATTTAATAAACATACAGAAGACAGAAATACCCAGATAACTCATCACAGTACCTTCTGATATTTCTTAAATAATGATGTGTGCATTGTCCGTATAGACTTAGAACAAACTGACTCAAAAATGTATTTTATTTTTGCATTTTTCTTCAATAAGCAAATAATAAAACATTAAAGTACAGAATGATCTTAAGTGCACAATTGTGCCTGACCTGAATTCACTGCACCCACAGCGCCCCCAGTGGAGAGGGGCGTCATTACAACGATAAAAATAGATCTCAGGATTTCCCTGAATCGATATTGAATAATTGATAATAATTGATATGCATTGATGAATCAATTTTATTTGAACCAGCCCTAATGAATACTGCCCATATTTTAAGGTATTATCTTACTAATAAGATTTTCTTCTCATTAGTCTCTGATATATAAAATGCATTAAATGAAAACATATATATATATATACCAAGTTAGGACAGCGATTACATTATTTATAGCGATGACATATTTTTCCACATATTTTCAGGTACACTGCCGTACCCGAACCTGGAGACGTCGGATGCAGTGGTGTATCACATCTGCATCGGCCATAAGAACACAAACCCAGAAGGATGCCGACCAGAGATGTAAGTGAAAAACTGACGTCAGGCTCAGGGTGGCAAGCTCTAATGTTGTTGTGTCTTAATGTCATGTGCTACGTTCAAGTCATGTAAATGTTGTAAATCTGAGCAACTGCTTTCATTTCAAAGCTTCCCGATTGATAAGAAACAACACAGACAATCAAAACTGAAAACCTGGAGAGACATTGGATATATTATGGATTAAAACACATTAATAATCCATTAGCAACAATCAGAACATGGCTAATGTTAGTATTCAGCCACTTAGTTAACAGTTAACATCTGAGAATCAGAAAGGATACCAAGGTGTACTGTAAATCAATTCTAGATATCAACGCTCATCTTTAGCACATTTTTTTTTTAGCCTGAGGTAAAACTTGATGGATCTATTATAAGCTCTCGAAGCAATGTAAAGTGTGCAGATCTCCCTCCAGGCTCCTCTGTTATTTTCAAACTACAGCATCACTGATTCCTGCTTCTTTATATGCAGCTTTAATCTGGTAGAAACTTCAGATTTTCACTTAAGACTCTTTTACATTGCCAGTTCAAGAAGAGACTTTTACGCCTGTGTTACACCTCGTCCACAATGTTGAATGCACAGAGAAGGAATGGTGCGGTGCAGTTGTTCTACCCTTGAGTGGGTGTTGGAGTTGGGAATAGAGGCATAAAGGGGCGAGACGGTGGCAGATTTGTAAAGTTGTCCATGTTCACCATTCTACATATGACCACCACTTCTCCGTTTGCTAACTTGTTATTAGGGTAAACCTGTTAAAGGTCTAGTAGTTACTAGCTCAAGGGGGCATATCGCCACCCAGCGTAGCGGAATCAGACATTTTTCCATCAATAAATCGATTCTTCCTCTGTGTTTGCATTCTGCCTCGGACAAGGACATTATTCCTTTTAAATGTCCTAATCGAGCTGTAGCTGCATACTGACTGTAAGACCCATAACTCACAACAGTTTTTGTACTTGTATAATATTTGACTAGCATCAAATCATATCTCTCAAATCACCTTGAACCCCACAGTCTTCACATAATGAGAGATTGTTGGTTGGAGCCGTACACTCTGAGACCCTCGTTCACAGATATCGTCTCCATGCTGGAGAACATAATCGAAAACGATTCGGTAAGAAATGACTCATTATTGTTTGCATGCTTCTATGTGATATGGCAGCTTGGACAAGTTTGCTCATATATTTTTCTTGAAATAAAAACATTTGTTTATGGCTTTTTTTTTTTTCAGGACTATGTGGATGTTGTGAGTCCGCAGATTTTTGTGAAAGATGAAGCTGAATATCACGAAGCTAAATGTCTGCGAGCAGCCAGCGTCTCCTTCAAGGATGAAAATCACATCTGAATAAATGTACAAAGGCATCAGACCAAGGACAATCAAGATCTAACATTTAAGACTATGTTTATCTATGGGTGGCTGTGGCTCAGTTGGCATTGGTAGAGTCGTCACCTCTCAACCGGAAGGTCAAAGGTTCGATCACCAGCTGAGCAACATGTCCGATGTGTCCTTGGGCAAGACACTTAACCCTGCATTGCTCCCGCTGCTTCAGTGGCGGTGTATGAATGGATTAGTACTTACTCTCTGATGTACGTCGCTTTGGATAAAAGTGTCTGCTAAGTGAATTGTAACATTGTAACATCTATGGCTACATTTGTTTTGTTAATGTTGAATGTTGTGAACAATGAACTTTTTATATTCTTGTTTAACACGGTAACATGTTAGTCTTATCTGTAAACAAAGCTGTGAATCAAGGTGTTAAATAGCATCAGGTAACTTATTCAAACTAAACGTCTCAGAAGAGTGAACACCTTGTTTCAGAAAAATGTATCTAGATTATCCTGTGACCCGCGTCCCATCTGTTGACATGGAGGTACTGTACTGCAGCCAATCAGCAGGGGGAGCTCTGAGTGTTTTGGTTTTCTTTTTGGTGGGACCGACATGTCATCCATCTTTTTATACAGTCTATGATTTCAACATTGATATTTTTTCTTATAATATTTAAAATGTACCTTAAATGGAAACAATGCTATGGCTTTAAAGATTTGTATTTCATGATTAAAAATCATTTTGTGTACTCCTCCATTCCTTTCCTCCTCCTGAAGGAAACATGTTCAGGTTGAAGAGGTCTGTCTTTGACGTGGTCATGATGCTGGTGAGACATTTAGAGAAGAAAATCACATCATGTATATTCTGAAGGAAATGCAAGTTGAAGCAGTCAGAAAGAAAATTGAAGCAGTTAGAAGACAGAGAACATCAAAATCAGCTGTTTGTATTCTGCGTCTGGCCTTTCTTACAATTAATTAGGAATTGATTAACTATATTAATTAATTTTATGGTTTTAGGTTGTTTTAGATGGAAGATAATAGGGCCATTGAAAAAAATCATGTTATTAGTTCTGACTTTTCAGCATTCTGAGAAAAACAGAAATAAAATGTGTTTGTGCGTGTGTGGCTATGCACTACTAAGTTATGGCTCAACTCATATTTACAGTCCTGGTCTTAACCACATCCGGGACAGTGGGGGTCCCCAGTCTCTGGCACCCTGAGAGTCGTGAAATGAAAAGTGTAGGAACTCCTGTTTTAGTCAGTCTATGCTGGTTAAGGGTAAGCGAAGTGTATTTTGGAGACTCACCTAAAACAGCATGACCACTGAGTCTGACCTTTCCCTTGCTGACGAATGATGCGTTCAGGAACGCCCACATCTGCTCCTTTGAGCCAATCGGATCTGTCACGGAAACACGCGTTTCTACGACACACTTACACTTTAAACTCACTCGGTCCCGGTTTTGCCTATTGCACTGCATAAGTATAAGACAATGGCTCTACTACGTGTATTAGAGATTGTATTCTTCTTCTATTTCGCCTCTCACATCCCGATCACTTTATTCATTGACTTACAAGCGCTGCTGCCCGGAAATGTGTACCCTGAGCCGGTAAGCACCTGAACTAGGAGGAAATAACAGACAGTATTCATGTTTGTAGTAACAGCTGATTGTGTTGTCACACTCTGAATCTGTCTCTTTTCTGCAGCTGAAGGATCTTCTGAGCTGGTACGCAGAGGAGTTCAAAGACCCGATGGTCCTGGATCCTCCGGAGTGGTTCAAGTCCTTCATTTTCTGCGAGGCTTTGCTTCAGCTAGCTTTCTTTCCCGTCGCATCTTATGCCTTCCTAAAAGGTCAGTAAACAGAAAAACGTAAGGTGTAAAGTCTGTGTGTTTGCCGCGCATTTAAATTGCGACCCGTGCCAGACCTGCATCAAAAACTTGCAGTTTTAACCCCGCGTTGGCCATTTGTAGATACAACAGAGGGCATCAACACAAATGTATGTTGTTTGGGAAATATGCATGACTAGTATTTGAATTCGGCGCTGATAAAGCGACTTAATCTAATAACGTTAATGCATTAATCTGAGTATTCATTCACAGCACCGTCTCTGGATCACTATCAGACTGTGAAAGAGTAGGCCTGTAGAGTGTTTAAAGTGTTTTATTCTTTGAGAACATCCTATGAAGCACAGTTAGACTTAAATGACTTATAAATGAGCCATTAGCCTACTTATGACTATAGTTTACACCTGTGTCTCAGTTGAACCAGTGCGCATTAAAATTACAGTTTTTGTAATGGAGTTTGGCACAACTCTTACTCGAGAGACCAGCGCTAAGAAACCAGATCAAACCTGACCTCTCTTGGGTATTTGCTGTACTTACATAAGTGGGTCTCCCTTTGAGGAGGAAAAGGTAGGCAAACATGTCAATTCAGTTTGGTTACATATATGTAGGCTACATATATGTAGGCTACATGTGTCTTCAGCTTCAGGTTGTAGATGCTTTGACCAGTAACTTTCTGCTCTGTGACTCCAGACATGTTAAACTGTGTTTGTAATTACTCTGTGTTTTATGTCTGTAATTTTGTGTTGTGCTGCTGCTGCCCCTCTTGGCCAGGACACTCTTGTAAATGAGATTCTTAATGTCAATGGGGTTCTCCTGGTTAAAGGAAAAATATATATATATATATATATGTATATATATATTTTAATTTATTTATTGTTTTTAAATTCCCATTAGGACTAGTCACACTTTTTCAGCACTTCAATCTTGCACAATAATTTCCTTGGTGATTAATAAAGTTTTATCTCATCGTATCTGTCTGGTCTTTCTCGTCCTTCAGGCGGCTGTAAGTGGATACGGACTCCTGCCATCATTTACTCCACCCATGTTGCGACCACGCTGGTCCCGATCCTCGCTCACATCCTCTTCTACAAGTTCCCTCTGAAGCCCCACCCGGGTCCTCAGACCCTGCAGGAGCGCTGGCTGCTGGTCTCCATATACGCTCCATACCTGCTGGTTCCTGTGCTGCTACTCCTCACCATGCTGTTCTCCTCCTCGTACAACCACACCCCCAAAACCAAGAAGAAGTGACCTAATGTGCTCTGACTTTATCCAACTTTATTTTTTTACCTTTTCTACCTTAATCTGTGTATCTGATTTTCATCTGTTTGTGAGCCTGTGTCTCAGACTGACTATCACTGTGATTTTAAAGTAAAATGCCATTTTCAAACGAGCACTTTTAATGTTTCTTTTTAAAAGTAAACACATGTTTATGAAACATATTTGGTATTTTTATCCATTTTATTCAGGCAAATACACAGAGGTATCACATGTTGATATTACAGTACAACCCAATATAGGATAATAATGAAACAGGCATACCTTTTAATGCCTTTAATTTGTTATTTAGAACATGTCAAAATGCAAAGAAGACCCTGCTGAACTTTACACAGGATTTTAAAAGACTGTTGTAAGGTAAAAAAATAATATAAAACCATTTCTCAGGTGATGCATAAAATATCAAATCTGACCTGCTCTGTTGATTTCCATCACATGAACTGTACCTGCCAAGAGGAACATTCATTGTCTTTTCTGCAGGTACCAGGGTTCACCCCCCCCCCCCCCCCCATCAGTGGTTTCTCTCTTTGTTCTCTCACGTCTACTGTCTGATGTCCAATCTGCACAATTTGCTGTTGAAAAATACCACAAAATTCAAATTGCAATTTCACATTTAAATGATTTAAACAAAGCATTAAACACCAAAGAAGATCAAATTTAAAACAGAACAGAACAGTGTTATGTATTCTAAATAGATTTTAAGATAATGGATTAAAATAAAAAAAATTAGGCTGAGGGCACATACACACATTTACTGTCTACAGATCTGTTTACGTTTTCAACCACCAGAGGGCGTCAAATCTAAACAGACAAGCAAAATACTTTTTTTTTTATAGATAAAACGCCTTCAGCCCTACTTCATCTTTATATTCACAGTGTCTGTGTCTCACACAGCCTACACTATGCTGTGTGTGTGTATATATATATATATATATATATATATATATATATATTTGGATTTATTCATTCCACATTTATCTCGAAAGAGCATTGAGGGTCAATTACAACGGCACAGAGTCATTACAGAATCAATGAAGAGACAGACAACAAATAATTTACAGAACAAGAAGACAGATGAATACAAGGCCACTAAAATCAACAAAGTGGGAGATTTCTAAGAAGCTAAGACTGTTGAAAGAAATGAAATAAAAGAATGTAAGAGTAAGTGAGCAGAATGAGTTAGCTATATACAAAACATCGATAGGCCTACATAAAAAGTACGATGTAAAACAGATTACATAGGCTACGTTTATTTATTAACTGCTTTTTGTGTATGACTTGATAAATAGCCATATCGCACTGTAAATTAGGTTCAAGGTTCAAGTTTAGGCTATTGATTACTTTTTAAAAATAACTTTTTGGGGTTCGTGCTGCGTTAAGTTCAACTTGTTGCAAAAGATAAAATGATAGTAATTACAGTTTATATATGAAATATACATCATCACCTTAATATTTACTGTCTAGGTTATAGCAGTATTTGAATTATTATTTTTTTGTATCCCATGAAGACACTGCACAGTGAACACAACTTTCAAATACATTTCATTACTAAAACGGTTAGGCCAAGACAGACACGAAACTAAAGAAAAGAGACGAGGAATGAATAAAAAATAGGGACGATAAAGGAAATGGGTGAATTAAAACATTTATAAAACTAAGATGATTAATACAAATCTGTAAAAGATGGAAAAAAATACAATACAAAATTAGCAAGCTAAACAATCATAAAGATATCTCAAACACACAGAAAGAATTGTTGAAGGGCGTAGGTTTGGATGCAACATTGGGGGGACGACACATTTTTTGAGCGTCAAACACTTCATTTCCTGCATTCTGGTGAATTTTTATGCAACAATTTGTGCCTTTTCTGAATTAATTTATGGCGGAAATCTCTTTATAGGAAATTATAATTATTTTTTAATTACTATTAATTATTCAACTGTATTGTTCATAACTTTCAGCATATTCAAAACATTACAGGTGTTTTGGGATGTTTTTTTAGGAATCATGTACATCTCAAATCAAATCTATTAGAGAATAAC